CCCCGCTACTGAAAATCGAATTTGGGCTATCCGCTACTTTTTGGGCTACTTATTATTTTTCGAACGCTACAAATCTTAAAAATGCGCTACTTTTTTTTTCCTAAAGAAGTATTTTCTTTAAATTTTTTTCCCTTCCCATTATAAAATTATTCCGAAAAGTCAGCAGTTTCTTTACCTTTTTTTAAAATTGAAACTCATTTTTTATTGAAAACGCATCTGCTTCAGTTGTGAATTCATGATTTGTTTTGCTGCTCGGAGTCTACTATCTTTCCATATCTATATTTCAAATCGTAGACTCGTGAAATCGAAAAGATATATGGGTGATTCTTTGAAAACTTGAAAATTCGGGAAAAAAAATTCTTTAAATTTAAAGTCTTCAAAAGAATTAACGTTAAGTCCAAAACCTTATACCGAACGAACGTATTTTTAACGTTTATTTGTCCCTTCATGCTACATGGGAACTCATTGAAATTCAAAAGAATTATTATTTTTATTTATTATTATTTACTCGTCAAAAGAATTATTATTTTTTTTATATGTTTATTTGATTACTTTTATTAATATCTTACAGACAGTCGTGTTGTTTACTGACATTTGCTCAAGAAAAAAATAAAATAGAAATTCAGCAAATTTTGAATGCCAGAAAAATGACATATTAGCTTAGAAGTTAAGAAAACAGTCATTTTAAGCTATAGTCAGTAACTCAATTAAGAAACTCAAAAAAGACAAAGTTGAGAAGTTAATTTTGACTTTTTTATGTAAATAAATTCCAAAAATAATTATTGTGAACAATTTTAATAAATTAGTTAAATATAATGAAAGTGAGAGAGTAACGCACACAATGAGTTATAGTTTTAAATTTTACTACACTTTAATTTGCTAAGAAACAGTTAAAACAAAGAAAACTTTGTAAAATTTCATTAATCTTGAAGATTTCAGAGGAAGCAAAATGTCTGGAAGACATTGGGTAAGAAGCAGACAATTTTGAATTAGTGATATTCTAAGAAATTTTATCACAGTCTTTTTTCCCGGACTACATAAAGTAATTAGCAGTCTGTTTGTCAGCACGAATAATAAAGTTAACTTTAATATCTTTATGAACGAATCCTACAATAAAAATGATAATCTTAGGAATTTGTTAATTAATTTAATAAAAATTTACATTAAAATTAATTTTAAAATAATTTACATCGGAAATTTTTTTATAATATTATTTAAATTTAAAATATTTCAAATAATTTTATTTTACCACTTTATTACATTCCTTAATTTATGCACCCAAGCAACGTTTAAAGACTATGACAGAATTAAATTGTACAGTGATGTTCTTAGTTTATCCTTTATATTTTTAACTATCCGTGTTTTGAAAAAAAAATAACCTAAAGCCTTTGAGTTAGATGTACCATGAATTGTTAAAATTGATTACTTTATCCACTGTAGAAGGAATCAAAAATGTTTTTGTTGTTGTTATGTCCAGAATAAAATTGTGTAGAATAATCGATCTTCAAATAAATAAATAACTTTAATTACATACGAGCATATTACAATGTTTCATAAACTGGGTATTAGGTTAATATTTCCTTTCCCTCTCTTTACATTATAGTGTTTAAAAAATTTTATACAACCGAGTTAATGTCCTGTAATTTATAAGCCAGGAAAATGACAGCCAAGATAATGACAATTTTGTCATTTTACAGCATTTAACATTACTTTAATTTAAGATTTTGGCCTAAGCCGTTTACTTTCCGCAGAAAACATCAGGATTTCTTTAAATAACTGAGATAAATGTAAATAGTTTATGTTATTAATGATTTCAAGAGGACATGAAAATGACAACATAAAAACCATCTCACTTTGTATAATTTTTTGAAATACATTTTGACTCAGAAAGTTGGTTCTTTATTCATGCAATTAGACATGTTCTGATAGGATGGTATTCTAATCAATCTCTTAACCTAAGATAATTGATTGCTGGCGCTATCTATTTTGGTTATAAATTACTAAAAAAAGTGCCAGGAAAATGACTGATTTTCATGTGAAAGACAAATTATTGACAGAAAAAATTATTTTCAATAAAGTTTTCTGGAAATAATACCCTCTGCATAAATTCTAGAAATGCTTACAACGGTTGAGATAAAAAAAAATTGATATTGAAAAATGTATCGGAAGGTTTGAAGCTATTTATTATTGGAAATATTGTTTAAGACATACCAGGAAAATAACATTTTGATATTCAATTAAATTTTTTAATTATGCAAAACTGTCAATGCTAGTGCAAAGTCATTTTAAAATGCTAACAGCAATGCTATTTTTTTTTAAAAAAAAAAGCTCTTTTTGTAGTATAGTATTAGATCTTGGAGCAAGAGACTGTGAATTGTCATATTTCGTGAGAATCACTCATATAAGGAAAAATGCACAGCGAGTATGATGGGAAAAAATCTTTAACTCCAACCAATATTAACCGTTTATCTCCCAGAGAAATAAATCACGTGATCTTTAATCTGAGTTAAAACGAAATATTAAATTTGACTATTTAGTATATATATATATGTGTATNCGACCAATCAAATGCCTCTATTTAATAAAAAGTCGGTCAGCCAACCAACAGTCAGAAGATAAAAAGGATCTCGCATAAGGAAAAGGAACTGGGAAAGGAACTTATGCAATAAAAAATAATTAGGTATATATTTTTACTTTTAAAATTAATTGAGTATTTTACTTAATTGGAAACATAGCTGATTGTAGTTTATTGTAAAAATTTAGATTCTAAAATTTGATTTTACGATTTGAGCTATTAACAGAGCTGCACTTTTATGCAGTGCTGTCATCTGGTGATGAAATAAGTAAGTCCCCTCGTATTGTTTACTGATGATGTTTAGACTGGTTAAACTAGAGGCTGAAATGGCATTTGTTTTGATCATATTATTTAAATGTACGAATAAATCATTTGATAATTTTTAATATAACTGCTTATTTTTTCACAGCATAATTATGGTAATCTAGGGTACAGTAGTTTCTTGTGTGAGTTTCGTGTCATTGTTTATTTTGGAATTTCTTATCTGGCTTATTGCATCAACTTCTTGTTTTGGTTAGCTCTTTTCAGATCAAATTGTATTGTCCGGTTATGTGTGTGAATAAATTAATTTCAGAGATGTATTTAAAATAAATATTGATTTGTATTTCCATTGAAATAGTATTTAAATTAATTTCTCTAAATTATGTTTTCTTAGGTTAATGCCTTTAATTTCGCTAAACTAAGAAATTTACTAAATGAAGTAAAGTTTTTTTCTTTTAATTCCGTGTTATTTTTCACAATGCGTTATTTTTAACATATAAAACTGTCTTTACGTTAGATATTTTCTACTCAATCTTGGCGGTAACATGCCAAAAACTTTGAAAATAACCGAATAAGAACTTGAAGGGTATAACTCATAACTATTCCCGGACAAACCGTTATACGTTTTTTAAATTGGAAAGCCTTTTGGCACAAATAATGAAACAGAAACATTCCTGATATTTCTTGTTAAATTATTATTATTGTGTGTTCACTTGCATACTTTTTCATTAACAAGTCTTAAAAATATTTTCTACTACTATGTATGTTCTTATGTTCAATGTATGACCTCCTATTAGTGTGATCATTACATGAAGTCTTGTTTGCTGTTCCATAGATGAATGTTAATTTAATTGCCATTTAAACCTTTGAGAAGGTTTCCCAATCGTTGTCTCCCTCATAAAAATGGTCAAGTCTTGGCAACTTCTGGGCTGTGACCCGCGATGAACTAATAAAAGAGAAACATCAGGAAGGGAACAACTGGAAAGGTATAACTTGCAGCCACCTCCGGTCAAACATCTACTTCCTTTTATTTTAAAAAATAATTTGCATGTTTAACATACTAACAGGTAAAAAAAAGTTTGTACTTGGTTCGACAGATCATGTTACAGAAATATTTACAAACGCTTCATTCTGATAGAGTGCCCTAAATTTAGTGTCATTTTTTTGAAACCCCAAAAATTACTCAAAAAACTGGTGTTAAGACATTTTTACACTTTCAAGATGAGGAGATTTCCGTATTGTGATCTGTGGCAGAATATTCGGTGAGGTCTTGGCAACTTCTGGGCAGTGGCCTGTGAGAAACTGAAATAAAAAACATCACAGGAAGGGACCGACTCGAAAGGTTACGCTACCATGTCGATTTTCGCCTTGTTCTATGCAATAGCGTGCTTTTCACATTGTTCTATTCAAAATTTTTGCAATTCGTTTCGCCGTGACGTCGGTCCGTGGCATATGAAAGTGCCTATCATTTTACATGTTTGATGAAATATTTGCGAGTCCACATGTGCGTCTACTGAACTGGATTCTTGCACTCTCATGTGCAACTCTGTTGCATTTTGCCAGATATTCTCAATTTCAGACGTCATTTTCCACCCTCTGATATCGAACCGAAGAATCTCTCAATCATTTTATTACGGCTAATATAATCAAGACAAGACTTCTTTGTCAGAAACTAGTTATCTCATCATGATCATGTTTGGAAATTATTTTGCATTATGTTAATCTATACAGTGCTTAAAAATGTTTTTTTAATGCTTAAAATGTGCTTATCTTTTGTTGAAAGATCTGGCTATGTACTCTGTATAATATTATTGATTGATGAGGAACTCAATGTTTCTAAGAGAACTAATATTTTTATTTTTTGCAGGTTTCTTTTTGCCTGGTTATTATTGAGACTATCATAATGGTATTTTTGATCTATTTACAAAATTCACACAGAGTGATATCAGATACCAATTTTGGTTAGTCCGAACAAATATTCATTACCCACAATGCCTGGTCGCACTTCAGATTCTCGGAAAAGAGTGGATCATTTTCAGAGGAGAAAAGTTGGAAGCATACGTGATAATCCAAAATTGATGAAAATCCGTCAACAGTTCGAAAATGCTTCAAAGGAAGAGGATCTCCCGAAAGCCAATACCTTTTGCGAATTACTGAATATTGATTTGAAATTATCTCGAGTGGAAGGATTTCAGGTACGTCGTCATTCAGAAGGAGAAGATTCTTTGCACGTGAATCGAAATTCTGTTAAAGCATCAAAGTTTTTCTCATCACCATCAGTCGATGAAAAGAGCTTGGTTGGTGTGGAAGCTTTGACAAAAACACTAGTTTGCGAATCAAACTCTGATAAATTCTGCATTTCTAAAGGATTAGAAAATGTGTCTCCACCACCCCTTCCCAAGAGGGGGGTATCTCCCGCAACCCAAAGTTTTCTGCTTGCTCCGACGAGCAGCCCTAAACGACAGAACCTTCTGTCGAAAGAGCCGTCCGGCAAGGAGACTAGCGTTCAAAAGGCGATCGAACTCTACGAAGGGATGTCGTCTTCAAGTCCCAAAAAGAATAAATCTGCTAAAAATTACGGGAGTCATCACAAAATCGTCAAACGAGAAGAGACTTTTTCGAAGAGAATTCACAAACGGAGAAGTAGTTTTCGAAGGTCTAAACTCCCTTCGGACTGTCCTCCAGCTCCTGTCAGTCAGAAGGAAGAAACCAGCGACTGCGAGGAGGGAAATCAAAATGTTTACCAAACACTCTCCACTTTTCCTGCGTCTCTCGACGATCCTTACGACAGGCTGAATAGGATTCACGACGTTCTGCATCAGATTCATGAGGGGCAAACTTCCGCGTGTGCGGCTTGCAAAGCCATTCCATCCATCAAGTTACGTGACAGTGCAATTCTGGAAGTTAAGTGCCACGAAGTGTCGCCCCATCACCACCCGCCCTGCATTTGTTTCTCTTGCCAGCATTCTGTGTTCAGTTGTTCTGTGTTGCAGGCAAAGCAAGAAGACGATCTCTACTATAATCTGTGTTGCCTCAACCTGCCCAATCGCGAAAGTTGGAGACAGTCGAGGCGGAGGCCCGTCTGCGAGCAGAATGGCCGCCTTTGTGTCGTAAACTGTGATATTGAAAAAAGTGCCAAAATTGATTCCTCGCAGAAGGAATACGAAAACTTATCGAATTGCCACTCAATGTCCCCTAGGCAAAAAGATACAGCCAAACAAATGAATGGTAAGTTCAGCTGTTATAATTTACAGGGTATCCGCTCACCTGGAAAGTCATGGTTTTCGGTATTGAACAAAATTCGTCATGATTTTGAAGGGATTTATTTATAGACTATGTCAACCTTCATCTATCAAAAGGTACCTCAAGATAGAATCGAGTTAACATATCTTATATACCAGTGATTTGGTATTTAATATTTATAGCAATAGTTACGCCACATTACTCCCCTTCCAGAATTTTATGAATGATTACCACTAGTTGATTCATGCTGTTTATATATCAGGGGTCTGTCTAGGTTTTTCTGAAAAATACCTATTTTGTGAAAATTTAGACATAATTTGTGAAAAATTATATTTAAAAATCAACACAAAAACATGGTAAAAATATAAATTTATCGTTTCTTAAGTGATACAAAAGTAAAACTTTAAGAAAAAGAATTTTGTGAAACTACCGTTATTCCTAACAATGAATTTGTGAAGGTACCGCTAAATGGTAGTAAATTCGGCCTAGACAGACCCCTGTCAACTGTTTAATGTGGATCATCCATCAATATTGACAAGTTCCTATCACGTCCGGTCACCAATGAAGGGATTTATTTATAGACTATGTCAACCTTCATCTATCGAAGGGTACCTCATGATAGAATCGAGTTAACGTGTCTTATATACTAGTGATTTGGTATTTAATATTTGTAGCGGTAGTTACGCCATAATTTTAACTATTTTTTAAAAAAAATCATGTAAAGTCATGGTTGCTGAAAAATCTAATTTTTAAAATGGAACTTACTCTCCCAATTTCATGGTTTTCCGAATATCTGAATTTGTAACAAAATCCCCACTTATAGTCATATTTTATTAAAAGTATAAAATGTTTTTATCCTGTGTTCCTAAAAATTATAGTGTTCTTTCAAAAAAGGAAATAAAGAACACCACTTCTAGATCGAATTATCTTTTAAACTTCCTTGATTTCAGAGTTTTTTTTTTTATCTATTTATTATTATTTTTTTTTATTTTATCGATTTAAAATTCTTGTTTAGGCTTTTTATATTACAATTACTTTTAAGAAGAAATAAAACAGGTTTAAATAACTACATATTTCTGACTGTATTTAGTTATTTGCTTTTGTATTTTTTTTTTTTTAGCTATTTTATTGCTTCAACTCTTTCTTTACTCTATTTTTTATAAAGTCAATAAATATGAAGATGCAGTATATAACAGTTTTGGTTACACCTATCATTTCAATTAATGTTGTTATAATGCCTTTTTTAAATTTATTGCTGTGTTTTTGTCGGAGAAAATAGTAATTTCGGTAAGTCATGAAAAATTCTTGGAATTATTCAGGAAAAGTCATGGATTTGAAAATCTAAAATTGAGCAGATACCCTACAAATAATAGATTTCGCCACGGGGATATTTCTGTATCGTGATCTTTCTTTCCATCTACAATCACCAAGCTGCCAAATAGATTTTAAATTTGCAAATCTTTTTTACAAAAAACTTGTGAATGTTAAACGAATTATATCTTTCGAGTTGGTACCTATCTGTAATCTTTTTTTAAAAAATTTGTTGCTGGTGGTTGCCCGGAAGTTGCCAAAACTTGGCAATTATTCTTACACAGATCATGATGAGGAAATATCCTCTTTGCCACCATTCACTTTTGGTTTTAATTAAAAATTCTTCTAATTTTTGTACATTCTTAAAAATTTAGAAAGCTTTTTACAAATACCAATCAGAATAATGTCGTTACTCAGCTTATATAAACATAACTAAATTATGATGTCTACTCTATTGCCTGTTATTTCATCTTCAGAATGACTCTCCCTTCAGTTACCAAACGCAAATTTTTTTCATCTCAAGTTTGTTTATTTTATATGATGTGTCCTTGATCACATTGTTCCTTAGCAAATATCTGTAATTTGTAGATTTTGATTTCATTCTTGTTGTGAAATCATCTGCCACAAATGCTAGTTTAAAGATGGATTAAAAGCTCAAAAAAAAATTTTTTTTTTTTTTATCAAAGTTGAAAAACTATTTTTTTATAACTAGTGGGCTGCGCCCCCTGCTCGCTAACGCTCGTCAACTCCCGAAAATTGCTACGCAATCTTATATGGTTTGCTTTGCTCACTACTAACCTAGGTACATTGCAAATGCACAAAATTCTAAGAATTCAAAACAATCATTCAAATCCATATAACAACTTTTTTTTTAAAAAAAATAACATCTTTTTATTAAATGCTAAGTCATTAAAATAAATTTGAATTCAAATAAATGACATGTAATTCGTTAAACCTATTAAAAACGTGCTATAGTATAAAATCTTAAGATAAAAATTCTAAAACTGATATCTCTTTAAAAAGGTTAAAATTTAGACTATAATTATTCGTCAAATAAATTCGTATATATAAATTCGTGAAAGAAAGCGCTTTCGACAAAATACTAAAATAGAGATCTATCGACAAAGACTACTCACTTCTGCTTAGCTTAATAGTATGAGATTGCCGCAGCTGATAGTGTGATTACTGACGTTTGGTGAAAATGCTCTCTCTGGTTATTTCACTTTCCGGTTTTAAAAGTGCTATATTTTGAGCCACCTCAGCTAGATTTGGCATGTGACATTTTTAGCGGCAATCATCGGTCGATTTTTTAGCGTTGCCATTCGGGGAGTTGTAATGAGGTTTTTTTTTTTGTCGCCGTGTAAGAGAAATATATATATATAGATATCACATTTTCCATAAAATATTTTCATATTTCAATTTTAAAAAATTATGGTCCAGTTTTTTTAAAAAAGAAAGAAAAACTACACAGGAATGTTTTCTAGTTAAGCCACTGTATGTTGTTACAAAAATGTAATTTCTATGTTTTTTTTTAGGAGAGTCTTATGAAAGTGATGAAGGTTGGGTTGATGTGACTGATTCAGAAGATGAAAAATCTTCTCCACTATCAGAGAGGTGATTTCTTTTTTATTTTGACACATTGTGATGTGGGTAGGGTTACAAAAAACCCATCCCGAGTTGGTTTTATTGGGGTTTTTTTTTTCGAAAGAGAGGGCAGGGACAAGTACCTTATTTTAAAAAAGCATATATTAATAATAAAGTTTAATTTTATGAATTGACTTAACATATAGATAATTAAAGTGTAATTAATAATTAATGCAAATAAATTGTCTGAAAAACGTTTCTTCTGACATCACATTACAAAATGTTATGTGTACTCACATAGATCACACATTTGAAACTTACTTTTACGCAGGATTACTTTTTATTTATATTTTAATCTTAAAAAATTCTTGAGGAAATTTTTTTTTTGTTGCATAGAAAGCGAATCAAAGGCATTGACTAATCAATAGCCATACAGTCAATTCTAGATTGTGTTATAACCAGGGTTGGCAAGATTTTGCTGCAGGTGGAAAAAACCATGGTAAACATTGGTAAAAACTGTCCTGGCAAAAGCAGGTTTTTGCCAAGCAAATTGGCAAAAAATGGCAAAAACCTATATTTTCCAAGATGAGAGGACAAAAACACATTTTTGGTACAAAATTATTCCTAAAATTTAAATATATACTATAAATATAACAATAATTACAAAAAAATTAACAAAATTATTATTCATAATTAAATCATAATTTAATAATATATCATTTTAGTAGTTTAAAACATTATTGATTGGAAAATTTGCAATTATTCTCTTTTTTCCAGTGAAATGAACTTATTTTAAATTAATATAACGATAATTTAGAGCATGAAATCTATCAAGATGTGTAGTTAATTATTGTACAAATAATTATTTTTTATAATATAATAATAATAATATTATACAAATAATAATATTTATTTATTTGTAAAAAAAAATTTATTTAAGGATTCTAAAATGAAAAGAGGTCAAAAACTTTCAATGTTTTAAAAATTATTGCCTTTATATTAATTATTAATGTGTTAAAAATAATTTTTTCATGTAATGTATCAATTATTATTCCTTATGATTGATTTAAATTTATTTCAAGTATTTTGTAATAATATTTACTAATCAGCAATGTAGGTAATTTGGTTTTTGCCGGTTTTTACCAGTGTTTGCCGGCAAAAACTCCAACCCTGGTTATAACACTCATAACGTGATCGATTTATAACATATTTCCTCTGTCTGTGTTTATTTTGAATTAAAATCTTTATGAAATAACTTTTATTGTAGTATAATTTATACTCAAATTATTTTGCTTTTTATATGAAACCTATAAATTTTTCTTCATGAATTCCACAAATAATTTTTTTCGCCAGATTGTTGTTTGTTTTTTAACCATAGCTTTATGTTTTTAGGCTAGTCTACATATATATTTCAATAAAATAACTCTTAACACAGGATAAAAAAGAAATCAATTAAAAAAAAATAAACTCAACTAGGTAGAACCTTTTACTACAATCAGGGGTCTGTTGAGAAGAAATTTGGATCCGCTAACGAATCCTTTAATTTATCTTTTAATCAGGCCTTAATTTATCTTTTAATCAGGAATAATTTATCTTTTAATCAGGCCTTTCACAAATTTGTTTATCTTCATTATTGTTTTGTTAATCGAATAAACACTTCCCGAAGGAGGGGGGGGGGAGAGATTGTTTGAGACAAACAAAGTTTCCCTAAGTTTAAATTCCAAATGTAGTATTCTAAGAAAATATTTCTACTTTTACAAACATTGTGTGTGCATTCTTATTAATGTTAAATCATAATTTTTTTTGTAAATAAATAATTGATCAATTTATATTTATTCATGAAATTTATTAATAGAATATTATGTAAATAAAAATTACTTTCTGGCAATTTTTTAAATGAAATATTATAAATTAAAGAATTGTTTAAGTTTACTTAATGCTTAACACATTAAAAGTGATACATTACTAAGTTGTGTTATTTAAAATATGTCAATTGAAATTATTAAAAATGTGAGTGATTTTGTTTCCATTATTCGTCCGAAATGAATATTCTGTGTTGAGCAGTATATTCTAAATACCAAATATTTGTATGTTGCATCTCTAATTTAGTTGCAGCAATTCTTGAGCAGAATCTTGTATCTATTTACAATTTAAAAACTTCTTGAAAAGGTTTTTAGCAATTTTTGCAATAACTGGACCCTATTTAAACAAATTCACAAAAGCAGGACCCTGGTTGAAAGAATGTGACTTAACGCTTATTTTCTATTCACTAATTATGTATAGTTTTTTCACATTTTTAACATCCGTGATAACTCGGGATAGTATACTGATGGCAAATTAAATGTTTTTTATACACAAAAAAAGTTAAATTTCAGCTTAACACATTCGCTGCCACTAAAAATGATATTTCCATCCTCAGAAGCCGGATTACAAAACAGGGTTTTAATAGTTTAAATGTTCCTTATATTTTACTGGGAAAACCAGAAAAACGAATAAGCATAATTTTCCTGTTTAGAGAGCGCTCTGGAGCGTCAGTACCAACCACACAGACCCAACCTGTCTTCGTGAGTGTCACTGACGCTCCAGCGCGTCTGATCAATATTCTCAGAAATTGCTGGCATATTGCATAAAATAGCAGCTTAAAAGGAATAAAATGGAATACCATTCAAGTATATGTAGTACCATTTCTGAAGCAATACTGAAAATATTTCAAATAATAAGCACAATATACAGATATTGGCAGTCATGCACGTAAAAAAATTCAAACAAAAATTTTGAATACCAACCACAAAAAATAAAAAAAATAATGCTTCACTAACGTGCCGAAATAACCTCTCCGTTCAGCTCCCAAAGCCACACTAAACACAGAGCATATAACTTATCGTAGTTGATCGACGCGCCAGCGCATCGTCGGCAGGGGCCCTCACCAGGGCGGGAGGTGGGCGCATGATGCGCCCACTTAAAGCTTGGGGGGGGGATTTTTACACTAAATAAAACGAATAGTTTGGGAGGGGATTTAGAATTTGCCCAGGAATGCGCCCTAGAGCTTGGGAGGGATGGGGGCTACTGATCGTCGGCATACTAGGAGGTGACGCGCTTGTGCGTCGGTGGCAGCGAGCGTGTTAAAACTTGGGTATTACATTTTATTTGAGTTCCTTCTATCTGTAAATGAAATAAAAAAACACGTTCATTCCTCACATTTCCCCTCTCCTCCTCCAAAAAAAATATTGGTAGGGTTAAACTTACAATTTTTTTTTAAAAAAAAATAAGAGTTTTTTTATATCTATTAATAATTCTTTAATGTTTCAAAATTAGTGTAAGTAATCTCCATGATTGTTTGCGTGATAATTTAGTCATATATTTTGTTTACAGGACTATTCATCCGCCTCTTGATGATCAAAATTTGTCTCTTGAAATTGTTGATATCATTGCAGAGGTATTTGCTTCTCTCTCTCTCTACTTAATTACACTCTGATTCATATTTGATTTTATAAATTGGGATATCTATAGTCTCTGGCCAAACTATACGACACACTATAAGATTCTATGTAAAATCATAATTATCAAGTGATACTATACAGCCTTATTGTTTTCTGCACGATTGAAACCGATTTGCACTTTTTTTCGTTCGTGTATCAATGGGTTAACATTGTCGTGCAATATGTTAAAAATAAATACAAATAAGAAGTATATAAAAAGTCTGCTGAATAAAAACCCATTACATGTGTCTTCAAATATAAAAGTATTGTATATCAACTCGTGCCAAACATGTCATTATTCAAAAACTACAGTGCGTCTAATAATTTGATACAAATATAATATACTAATATAATGCTTGATATAATAAATATCCTATATTTATATAATATATCGTCTAATTTATTGGACCGTCGAATTTATATGATGTATCGCCTAATTTAACCATTTGATACACGAACGTAAACAAGTGCAAACTGGTTTCATCTGAGTAAAAGCAATACAGCTGTACAGTATCACCTGATAATTAAGATTTTACATAGAATTTTATAGTGCATCTAATAATTTGGCCGGGGACTGTTGTACACTTATAAGAAAAAGATGTTTCAAATTTAAGTTTATAGAAAACTATATTAACATATTTTTTTAATAGCAGAATTTGAAATTTAAGCATACCTGCAAAGTCTCCCGTATTTTACAACTATCTCCTGTTTACCTGTATATTCTTAAATTTCTCCATATTTGTTAAAGAAATCTTGAAAAAAAATTGGCAATGAAATACCCACTGATTGCAAAAATACTTCTCTTCTTCCTCAACAGATAGTGCTATTGCCAGTACTGCAGTATGTTGAGTGTTGATAGTTTAAGTTCCCCTTGCAGTCAGGCTTACTGTGAGACGTTTTCCTGGTTTTCCTCTCCGTGTAACGCAGTTGAAATGTAGTTCCTCAGCAAAGTCAAATATCTCCCAATACTCGATTGATCTAAGGGGTTGGGGTCAAAATGACAAGGCTGCAGAGGTGAACATTAATTGCTGTAACCCCAAATTTGGGTCGGCAGTTCAACGACAGTTATAAAATAGTTTAAGTAACTATAAATAATGGTTTAAAGAAATCTTCTTCAAATTAGGATATTATTTCCAATTTTGAATTTCTCTTTTTGACTTGCATGATTACGCATTATGTATCAAAACTTTACTCAAAATGTCGCTAGTAAAATCTCCGTTATTATATTTCTCCTATGTTAAGTTTCAACATTGTTTTAAAGTTCATAAAAGTTAATATTACTTTTAATCATTGCTTTTAATATTACCTTGCGTGTGAAGAATAATTTCGAATTTATCTTAAAGATTTCAATTTTGCCAACAAATAAATTAAGTAATCTAACCTCAGCTTCAATTTGTCTGAATCATCTTTAAGTTGATCATATATTTGCTTAAAACTCTTCAGTGATATTCTGTCCCCATATCTTTATATTTAATTTTTTAAATAACTAACAGAAAGTTTGTTGTATGGCTTAGTTTATCTCATTAAAATATACAAAGCATTCTTAAGTTTATTTATATTTGAATCATTTACTGTGGTCATTTTCTCTTAACTCTGAGGAGGGTAAAATGACGATCATTGACATTAAATAATGATGGGCAGAAAATAGCATTCCTTAATTCTTTTAAAATACAGCTTTTTGTTTGGATTCTTTTACATTTTTCCTCATTGTTTCTTTCTTTTCTAACTCTGACCTTTCAATTTCCCTCAAAGTTGTCAGGGGTCTGTCTAGGTTTTATGAGAGGTACCTATTTTATGAAAATTTAGACATAATTTGTGAAAATTAAAAATTATTTTAAAAAATCAACACAAAAATATGGCAAAGTAAGAAGATATTTTCAAAATAAATTTTTATATATTTTCCCCCGTATATTCAAAAATAGTTTTGCTATTGTAAAATTTTGAGCTTAAAATTGTATCCAAATTTAAAAATCATTGTCCATGTTAAATTTCAACTTAAATTTAAAAAAAAAAGCAACATGCATTTAGCAGTTCTTGCACTAAAAGTTATTTTCATTATGAGAGTATTTCCCATAGGTTCATATAGAAACAAGTTTCACAGCGAAGAAATGTTTCATAAAGAATTAAAGGTCTGTTAGAATAAATTTAGAACTATGTACGTATGGTTAGAATTTAAAAATCATTGTCCATTGTTAAATTTCAACTTAAATTTAAAAATAAAAAAAAGGATCCGAACATGCATTTTGCAGTACTTGCACTAAAAGTTATTTTCATTATGAGAACATTTCCCATATGTTCATATAGAAACAAGTTTCACAGAGAAAAAATGTTTCATAAAGAAATAAAGGTCTGTTAGAATAAATATAGAACAATGTACTTGTGATTAGAATTTAAAAATTCATGAAAATCATTGGCCACTGTTAAATTTCAACTTAAATTTAAAAAAAAAAATAATAATAAACGAACATGCATTTAGCAGTACTTGCACTAAAAGTTATTTTCATTATGAGAACATTCCCATAGGTTCATATAGAAACAAGTTTCACGGAGAAAAAAATTTTTCATGAAAAAAATAAAGGTCTGTTAGAATAAATTTAGAATGTACGAAAGATTAGAATAATGTTCGAATTTCAACTTCTTGTAAAGTTTACAGAGGGAGGCTTTAATTTTTAAAAAAAATACTCTGCACTATCTGATGAAGCACTTTCTTTTTTTTCTTACGGGGATACAAAAACAAGTTTCTTTGTCAGAAACTAGTTGTTTTATATTGATCATCTAAAGTCTTTGAAAATTATTCTGCATTTTGTTAATGTATATAGTGCTTAAAAATATTTTTTGAGTGCTTAAAAGGTGCTTATTTTTTGTTAAAAGATTTGGCTATGCGAATTAAAAGATTTAGCTATTAGAATAGAATTTTTATACATATTGCTTGCTTGAATATTTAAATAAGTATAACCAGTGCATAATGAAGCGAGCCTAACATATAGCAATCACTTTAAAGCTTCTCCTTTTCTTTGTTCTAAAATTTCAGTTTGTTTTTATTCAGTACTCTCTTTTTTTAAAATGTAAAATCTCTAAATTAACAATATTGATTTACTTATCAAATACTATTTAAAATTAAAAGTTAACATAATAAGAATTACATTTCAATTTCATTTAATTGCAGTCATAAATGGAAAATATTGCAGGCCATTTATTAGTGTAATAAAGTTTTTGTATTTTGATGACAATAAAAATCCCTAAACTTCCTCACATGAAAGATATTACGGAACAGTTATCATATGATCTACTGGATTTCTTCCTTTTGCAGCTATGATAATATTATCAATTATTATCAAAATATTATCATTATATTATCAAATATTACCACATGAAACATTGATAATAAAGAATGGTTTTAAAGTGTTTCACATTTGTAATGAGTCTTTTTTTTCAGCTTTGATTTTGAAAAGTGGCTGATTTTTATAAATCAGTGATTTTATCAGAGGCTGTCAGGATTTGCATTTGTTTCTCCATTCCCAATGCTAGAGCTGCTAAAAGTTATTTGAGTGTTTTAATACAGGGTTACCACTCCACAGGGAAGCCTGGAAAATACAGGGAATTTGAAAATCACCTAAATTAACTGTGAAAATACGGGGAATTCTGTTCTTTATTTTTGTCTCTTAAAAGACCACTCAAAGTGTCTATGGGATATTTAACCATGATATTTCAGCTGTACTAAACTATTTCATTTACTATAGCATTATTTAAGTATGTTCCACTGTTTTTTCAGCAATTAAAAACTATTAAATATAGTTATCCCAATGTAGCTCACACAAGACCACAGTCATTGTTGTTTCCTCTTAATATAGTGTGTATAATGTGCACGAGGAAATTTTTTTTTCAGATTTGAGTGGCTACCCTGTAATATACACAACTCTACCAACTCTACTGGATTTTGCCAGTTTCTCCTGGTCTATTGGTTTAATAAAAAATCTCCTCACCTGGTTTTTGTACATTTCAAAAAATTCCCTAAAATTGAGAAAGTTTCCTAAAAAAATCCCTATTAATTGAATAAAAATCTTTGTAGAGATTATTGCTTGAATATTTAAATAAGTATTACTAATAAATAATGAAGCAAACCTCATTTATAGAAATCAGTTCAAAACTTTTTTTGTTCTAATATATTCAATTTATTTTTATTCAGAGATCTCTTCTTAAATTAATTAAAAAAATCTCATAACTATCTTAGAGGAATTAAATGACTATTAATATTTGAAATTATGAGGAAACATAACATTTCAAGTATGTTTAATGTCAATCATAACTGGGTAATATTGCAGTCTTTCTATTCTGATGATTGTAAAAATGCCTAAAATTCTCTATGTGTAAAATATTTAGTACATTACATTACGCAACAATCATCATGAAATTTATATTATTTAATAAAATCTACTGGAATTTTTCCTATCCATGTTGCCAGCTATGCATGCTTTAAATTGCCATATTTTTTTGATAATTTCTTTTTCTTCCCCAGTGCTCTGACTTGAAGCTGACTGATGCGTGCTCTACCGAACACCTTTACGAAAGCATAAGTGAAATCGAGTCGCAAGAACCCGTCGCTTCGTCGAAAGACGATCCTGTTCCCGAGAATGAACTCGACAGCGGAGAATGGTCTACAGAGAGTAGTTCTCCCGTTTTTAACGAATCTTTTGAGAAAAACAATCGACAGAATGCTTTCTCGAGGTACACTGTGAGCGGGGAGGAAACCTCTAAGAAAACGTTCATGAAATCAGTATTAGGTAAAAGGACCAAGAAAAGACGGATGTCCAACTTCTTTGTGCCCTGGCTCGTGTCAAATAATGAATATTGTGTTACCACAGACGCAAGTAATTATAAACCTTCCACCAAACTGTCTTCCAGGAGTAGTAAAAGGAATCTTTCTTCTAAAGAAACTTGTTGCAAAAATGTTGAATCGGGTAATTATCTTCACATTAATCAGTTGTTTGGGTTCTCTTCTAATTTGTAAAATTTTTTTCTTATTCAAATACAAATAATTCATATGCAATAGAATGCTTATTTTAAATATATAAATTATTTCATAACAGGGGCCGGGGAGCAGAGGATACTTAAGTCCCCTCTCATTTTCCCCGTGGCGACATTGTCGCAGAATGATACTGAGTTCTTGCAGAAAGATTTTTCATTTGGGAAGTAGAAATTTTCGAAAGCTTCTATCTTCTCTTCAGGATAATATTTAAAATTATATGCCATTCTTGCGCATCTGAGTTGGAATAAAAGGCTTGTAATTTTTCTATTTTCATTTGAGTATAATTGATTTTCATTGAGATGAAGGCTTTTCTCGGACTATTACTAATGATCAACCAAAATTAGAATTTATTAAATAAAAAGTTTGGTTTTCTTTTTTGCAGAAATATTCGTTCTAGTTTATTATTTTTTTTGCAGTTATTGCTATTGATTTCCACATATTTTTTAAAATCTGTTATTTTTAACTGATATTATTTATTACAACGGCTGAATCTCGAAATGAAAACACTACATTTGTAACCCCCCTTTTTAAAGAGTTCGATTTGGCATGATTTCACAGTCGATCTTTTTTTTCTGTTAGTTACTGCTATGGATTTCACTATTTTTTATTTGTTTTTAAATTCGATAATGACTTACAAAGAAAGAAAGAGCAAATAATTAGTGTATTTTCTCCCTGTAAAATGCAAAAATATAGCTCATAATAATAGAATAAAAATTATTACATATTCAATTTTAAAAATTACATTATTTTTTTCCGAAAAGTTTTTTTTCTTTTGAAGTTGACGCTTTTGTTACTTTAAATTAGTAACATGTATCTTTGTTATTATTAAAAGTATCGTGCAGAAAGATATATTAGTGCTGGAGAGATTTGTCGCAGAAAGACTGAAAAAATTCTGCCACGGTGCTCATTTTATAAATAGGGTATCTGCACACCTAAAAAGTCATGAATTTCGGTATTGAACAGAATTTGCCATGATTTTAGCAAATCTTTTTTTAAAAAAATCACGGGAAGTCATAGATTTAGGTCGCCAAAAAATCTAATTTTTAAAATAGAATTTACCCCCATCCCAATTATATGGTGTTCCAAATAACTGAATTTGTAACAAAATCCCCACTGACAGTCATATTTTATTGAAACATAAAATGTTTTTATCATGTTCTTTAAAAATTATAGTGTTTTTACAAAAAATGAAAGAAAAAACATCATTTCTAGAGCGAATTATCTCTTAAACTTCTGTGATTTCAGAATTTTTGTCAATTTAAATTTCTAGCTGCCGCAAGCCAGTCATTGGCAAATTTTTTTTAATTCCGAAATGAGAACAGAAAAATCAGCAGTATTTATTTCCTTTCAGATGAACGAGAAAAGTATCTTTAGAATATATATATATATTTAATGGCGGGCACTTGGGGGTTGTCCCATTGGCCACAGAAATGCCAGAACTCCTACTCTCTTCTCGTTAGCCTGTGGGCACCTGTGGCGGAACCACGACGGTGGAGCAGCGTCGCCCATGTCACACAACCACAAACCTGTATCTTTAGAATATAATTGTGCACAAAAAAAGAAGAAAAAATTTCTTTTGTATTTTTTTCAGCTATTTTATTGTTTCAACTCTTTCTTTACTCTGCTTTTTAAATTTAAAATCTATAAATATACAGATGCAGAGTAACAAAATCCCCACTCATAGTTTTATTTTATTAAAANCGGTGGAGCAGCGTCGCCCATGTCACACAACCACAAACCCGTACCTTTAGAATATAATTGTGCACAAAAAAAAGAAGAAAAAATTTCTTTTGTATTTTTTTCAGCTATTTTATTGCTTCAACTCTTTCTTTACTCTGTTTTTTAAATTTAAAATCTATAAATATGCAGATGCAGAGTAACAAAATCCCCACTCATAGTTTTATTTTATTAAAAGCATAAAATGTTTTTGTCCTGTTCTGTAAAAATTATGGTGTTCTTTCAAAAATGAAATAAAGATCATCATTTCTAGAGCGAATTATCTTTTAAACTTCCCTGATTTTAGAGGTTCTTTTTTTATCTATTTATTATTTTTTTATTTTATTGATTTAAAATTCTTGTTTAGGCTTTTTATATTACACTTACCTTTAAGAAGAAATAAAACAGGTTTAAAATAACTACATATTTCTGACTGTATTGAGTTATTTGCTTTTGTATTTTTTTAAAGCTATTTTATTGCTTCAACTCTTTCTTTATTTTTTATAAAGTCAATAAATATGAAGATGTAGAGTATAACAGTTTTTGTTATACCTGTCATTTCAACTGATGTTATTATAATGCTTTTTTAAATTTATTGTTGTGTAATTGTCAGAGAAAACAGTAACTTCGTTAAGTCGTGAAAATTTCTTGGAATGAGTCGTGGAAAGTAATGAATTTGAAAATCTAAAATGTAGCAGATACACTTCAAACCCCCCCCTCATCAAAATAGATAGGGGTACTATGGTGGTCACTGTTTAATTATTATAGTATTCTTAAACATTTAAAAGTAAAGGCACTGGAACTGCCAATGTTTACCCAACCTTTGTATTTTCTGTAGCAATCTTTTAGAAATATGGAATCTACCCTTTTTTTGTAAAGTCTTGTGTTTAATATTATTTATGAATACAAATTTTGCCAAAAGTATTTTAAACAATTCACATACTGTAAAGATATAACTTCTCATGAATAATGATTGTAAGCAAAGATGCCTGACGGTGGATTTTTAGGGACGCAAAAATCACCTTAAACAGTTGGCAAATATAGTTGAACAAAATAGTATTTACTTTATTGGAAATATAAATAATGAAACAATGTAATTTAAATTATATAATGCTAATTATGTATATACATAAATCTTACAAATACTAGTGAGCAATATAATATGAACAATAGAGCTATTCCATGGGGTACAAACTTTTGTATTATGTGATGTGTTAAAAAAAAAGAAACATTACTTTTCCCCAATATTTATATATATTTTGATAATCGGTTCTTTTTAATAAGAAGGAAATATTTGTTAAAACAATATCAGCTTCTTCTTTTTTCAGCTTTAAATTAATTCTAATGTTTAAAAATATTTGATTTTATGCAAATAAAAAGGTATTTTGTTGTCTGAATGACTAACGTTTAAATAAAAAACTACCATGCTTAAACACTATTAAATACAGTAGAGAACCGATTATCCGGAACGATTGGGACTATCGCTATTACAGATAACTGATTTTTCCGGTTTTCTGAATCGCTACTAAAAGCCGTTTTTTTAGTGTTGAACCCAACTAAAAAAAAAATTATTTGGAACTAATCTTAAAAATAAGAAAAAACGATGAGGTAATACACTAATGATTATTTCTGAAATGATTGTAAGGTAAACGTCTTTCAAAAAAGAAAGAAAAATCCTAACATCTTATGAGGAAGAAAAAATTTTTTTTGAAAATTTCGGGAAAATTTATCGCATTTTGTTCCGGTTCCTTGGTTTTCCGGATAACGGGTTCTGTACTGTACTATAACACTATTTGTCGCTCATCATGCTGTGTAAGTGAATCTTCACTCAAAATGGTTTTGCAGGTATAGTTTTATCTTTCAATACTTTGGTGGCCATTCTATACAATACTGAATTCTCTCTCTCTCTCTCTATTTTTATATATATATATATAGTTATTTTTNGATGAGGTAATACACTAATGATTATTTCTGAAATGATTGTAAGGTAAACATCTTTCAAAAAAGAAAGAAAAATCCTAACATCTTATGAGGAAGAAAATTTTTTTTTTGAAAATTGCGGGAAAATTTATCGCATTTCGTTCCGGTTTCTTGGTTTTCTGATTTCCGGATAACGGGTTCTGTACTGTACTATAACACTATTTGTCGCTCATTGTAAGTGAATCTTCACTCAAAATGGTTTTGCAGGTATAGTTTTATCTTTCAATACTTTGCTGGTGGCCATTCTATACAATACTGAATTCTCTCTCTCTCTATCTATTTATATGTTTATATATATATATATATACAGAACAATGAAGGAAGAGGGAAAAAAATAAAGTAAAATAAAAATAACAAGAAACTGGAAAGAAAAAAAAACAATCCGAAAAAAATTGACAAAAATTATAAAAAAATCCGGAAAATAAAAGATATAATCTTTTCTTATCTTTTATATAGGATTATATCTTTATAATTATATCTTTTATAATCTTAAAGATTAATAAAAGATATAATCCTCACACGATTATATCCATNACTGGAAAGAAAAAAAACAATCCGAAAAAAAGGGACAAAAATTATAAAAAAATCCGGAAAATAAAAGATATAATCTTTTCTTATCTTTTATATAGGATTATATCTTTATAATTATATCTTTTATAATCTTAAAGATTAATAAAAGATATAATCCTCACACACTTATATCCATAAAAAGAGTGCTTTCTAATATTGCATTAATATAGCCAAAGCAAAATATATCAATACAATAGTGTGAGAAGCACTCAAAAAATTTTACAAAAAATAAAATAGAACAAATAAAATAGAACACAATAAGTAAAAATATCACGTAAAAACAGAATAAAAAATTAAATGAAATCTATAAAGCGAGTAGCGAATTCAAATGGACTTACATGAACTTGAAATTTTTTAAGAATGATTTAAAATATTTTCTTAACAAGATTGCCAGATTGCAAAAAATGAAAACAAAACCGTAAATTGAACTAAAAGCGTATCTAGGGGAGTTTTGTAAGTGCGTTCTTGCTGCATTACTGAAGTGTGTTTGATTTGTTAGTTACCAAAGATGGGCCCGAAAATAGATGTGCGCATATATATATATATATGTANCTGCATTACTGAAGTGCGTTTGATTTGTTAGTTACCAAGGATGGGCCCGAAAATGGATGTGCACATATATATATATATATATATATACATATATATATGTTAAAAATATAGAGAAAACACGGGAAAAATATTAAGAATAAAAAGAAATTTTACTAAAAATATTTATTAAAAAAATATTTAAAAATTAATGCGTGCGTGTGTGTATCTATATGTCTTATGTCTATACTATTTTTTTTTTATTGCTCCTCACACTTTTGTATTGATATATTTTGCTTTGGCTATATTGATACAATATTATAAAGCACTTCTTTTTGTGATTATAATCGTGTTAGGTGATATTACATCTTTTATTTTCCGGATTTTTATTAATTTTTTTTCCTTTTTTTTCAGAATTTTTTTTCTTCAAATTCCTAATATTTTTCTTTTTTCCTATTTTGATTGTTCTGTAATTTTTTTCATGTTTTTTTTTTACACTTTGAACTTATATATATATAATTGAGGTTTTATTATTTGTAGGAATTTTACATTTATAGATAAATAAATTAAGCTCATACTTAATAAATACTAAAGTGAAAAATATGTGTCATGAAATTATATGCTTGATATTGATATATTTCTTCCGTTTAAAGACAAGTCATCCAAAATGCTGCCAGAGAGCCCAGAGGATCCTCCATCCTTCTCCTCCTCGTGAGTATGCAACAATTTGTTTTGATTTTCACTTCTTTTGTTACTTCCAGCTGTAAAATATCTCCAATTTGACTTCAATTAAAATAGTATATATTGGTTGACTTACTTTGATTTAAAATATTCAATTAACTTTGAGATAGAATTTAAAACTTTGTAAGTCAGCGAATTAGTTGCCATGCTGCACTTATGAGAAATACCATTCAAGGATTCAGGTTAAACAAGCTGTTTTTATTGTTGCTACCGGGCAGTGGGTTTAACCCAGTGATTCTCAACCTTTTTTTGTTGTGGCACACTTTTAACAAGCTCAAAATTTGACGGCACACAATTGAAAAAATTAGATTAAAAGTTGTTTACTTACCTATAATACACTGTGTTAAATAGTTTGCGATAATAATTTTGAATGTGAAATAAAATAATATGTACTACAAAAGCATGTTTATTAAGGGATTAATTATTTCTTTCGACTAATTTTTTATTAGTTAGTAACAGTAATTTATTTTTTTGCTAGTTATTAATTGTTCTAGCTTGTTTTCCATAGTTATTAACTGTTAGTTTTTTTACATTAACTGTTATTTTTGTGATTTCTTGTTAACTAGTTTTTTTTGCTAATTATTAATTGTTAGCTTATTTTTTTTTAGTTATCCTTTGTTAATTTGTTATTTTACATATTTGTGTTTTTAGTTATCCTTTGTTAATTCGTTTATTAATTCCATAGCCTACTTTAATGATTAGCTTTTATTTCCGCTTGAAAGTTAATATTTAGTTTGCTTTCCTTTGTTAATTAATAATTTTAATAGTCATTAAATTTCCTACTCATTTCAACATTTTTTGAAATTGTGTATCGAAGACAATTTAAACACTTCCATCTTATTTTAACTTATTTTAAGATTGTCAGAGACAAGACAATCGCCGACAAAGATGTTCTCATTGTTGAAGCGTGGAAAATTATAAAAAGTATATATATATATATATATATTATATATATATATATACACTTTTCTTTAATTGAAACTTTACTCTTAATAAAAAAAAAGCATTATAATTTTTATTGTATCATTTCTAATATTTGGCGGCACAGTGGTTCACTGGTTTTACCTTTAAAAAAAAGCACCAGTGTAAGGTGTACCAGGCAGTTGCTTAAAATTAGCAAACCTATAGAGACTAAAAATATTAGACACAAAGATATTATTTAACAACTCTAAGCAGGCATAATAAGAAAGATACAATAATAAACACTTTAAAATTACTTACTTATCTTTAAAATGTGTATCCTATTTCTTTTCTTTAAAATACCTTGGAATTAAACTTACGTCTGATCATCATTTTAGCAAATGCACAGCAATAAAAAATTGACTCAAAAATCATACTAAATCTTCGCACACTACAAATGTTTATTTCTTAATGCACATTTGACTAACTTTTCAAAACAACACCTACCATAATATTCATTTCGCAGAAGAAAAAAAAAGGAGTCACAAAATTCAATCTTTACACCAAATTTTAATAATTGTATTCCCTCAGAAAATGTTGTGTAGAGAAAAAGACCAATTAAACATTATTTGTTCTTTCGATAAATAACCATTATTACAGATTCTTTTTGTTCTATTTATTTGATTAAAAGTGGTATTTAAATAAATGAACTTTAGAATTAGTTTATTTTTATGAAATTTAAATTCATTTCTTTTATAGTATGTATCAACAATGCAGATATTTTCTTCCTTTTTTGATTGCAAAATTGAAATTAATATTATCGTCATGATTATGAAGCCAGATTAATCCCTCGGCGTAAACATTATTTAACGAAATTATGTAATTTTGATAATTAAACCATCAATGAATCTAAAGACAAATTTAAAATCAACAGCATAATTTTTTTCATAATAGCGTACAAATAAGTTATCTAACATTGATGAATAATTAGATCCTTGTGGTATTCCATCAATTTTAACAAAAATATGTTTTCCATTGTACAGATAATTTTTAAAAAGTCAAAAATTAATTAGAATATTTAAAATCACAATTAAAGATATTTTTATAATCATAGTTAATAACTCAAAAGAACATCTTTTAGTTTATAAAAGGGGAATGCTATGAAATAGTTCATGGAAATCAAAAGTCGCAATTGAAGAAGAAGAGATGAAGGCTTTTCTCGGATTATTACTAATGATCAACCAAAATTAGAATTTATTAAATAAAATAATATTAGTTCAATTGCGACTTTTGCTTTCCAAGATCTCTTTAACAACATTCCCCTTTCTACACTAAAGTGTAAGTACAGGGTTCCCACGGTACTTGAAAAACCTTGAATTTTGTTGAAAAAAATCAGGGACATGAAAAGTCCTTGAATTCTGCCATAGGGTACTTGAAAAGTACTTGATTTTTTAGGAATTTAAATAATACTAATCTTTCTTTCAAAAAAGCAGTAAAAAAATAATAAATAAATTGAAGGGAAAATTATCAAAATTCTGATACAGTCAACCCCGCTTAAAGGAATACCATCGGTTCCAGCCAAATCTATGCAATTAAACGGGTTATTCGATTATAAGGAGAGTGCAATATTCAATCTTAAATTTTAAATTTTTGAGAAATTTTACTTGTTAATGGAATTTAATCCATAGTACAGTGTTTTGATTAAATAAACTTAGTTTTATGATCAATAAACAAGTTCAAATTTTTATTACTCATTAAAATAAGTATGTATGCAGTCTTTTTTTTTACACATTTATTATGGACACTCCTGCAAATCGGATGCGTCTCAATACGGACATATATTTTATTCCATGTGAATCTTCTATGAATAGCCCATAATGTACATTCTCCACAAAGAAGATACTCCCTCAACTAGATGTGGATAATAATTTTTGCCCCGGAAAGTTATTTTCTATCTCTTCAAACCGGACACTATTTTTTTCTAGATCTGAAAAGAAAACCTTTTCTGCTTAAAATTGCACGGAGAAAAAAACTATGCATATTTTCACCATTTTTAAAGCATTCAAAGTTTTTGCCTTATCCATAACTAAAAATATTATTTAGTTAATTCACTGCTGAAGAATCAATCTTTCTCCTGTTACTTTATCTTTGCAAAAAAAAAAAGAGAAAATGATATTACTGTGACTGTATTTAACACAGCTGGAGTAAAAGAAAGATAAGAGAAATATAATCTTTGAGGTGGTCATATAAATAAAACATTTGTTGAGGTGTTCATATAAATAAAACAATAAAACATGACACTTGTGAATATATCAGGGTTACCATAGGGGACCGAAATGCAACTATTTTTGGCATGAGGCGACTTTGGCAACTTTTTTTTGCCTGAAAAGGCTAAAAAAGCAACTATTTTCAGGAAAAGGAGACTATTGGATGACTTTTCTGTACTCCTAGCGATGTTTTTTTTAGCGTGAGTTGGGTTGAAAATCTGCAGCCCGCGATAGTTTCTGAACACACTGCGCTTTTTTCTTCTTAAGTAATAAAAAAAGTTTAAAATTTTGAATTGCAAATTTGAATCTTCACTTTTTAATTCATTCAATCTGCACAAATTCCATTGTAAGTCTATTTCGTTTCTCGATCGTCTTTTCAATGGCTAAGAAATTCCGCATGCTTTTTTAGAAAAACAATTTTTAAAACAATATTACGATGCGTGAATTTAGAATTTGACTGATCATTTTTCACAATATATATTTCCTAGATCAATTATTGATAAAATTGAAAATAGTGCTAGAGCATAATGTTTATATAAAAATCAAAATTATCATATTTGCCACCAACTTGACTGTATGGATCTTGGTATATGATAATTAAGTCATTAACAAAATTTTAGTCATATTTTTGATGAATTTTTGTTCTTATTTAGGCAACTATTTTCAAAGTTTTCGGCTACTATTTTCATGCCTTAGGCTACTAAAAGCAACTATTTTGTTCATTTTGCAACTATTTTGTCAGAAAATTCTTAATTTATGTTTCAGTTGAAGAACAAAACATTTCATCTAATGAGTCAATTACTCTTTGTTTTTTCTTGATGATGATATATCAACTGTGTACGTTCTCCTGCCTTACACATAAGCATTGCTTTCTTTCTTCTTCAGTGAATTGCTGGAAGTTTACTTTCAAGGACCTATCAAGCGATGGGTTAGGGGGGTGTGAAATCTAATAATTGAAACCGACTAAGGACTAAACGCTCCTATTCAGTATCATATGACTAACTTGAATATCTGTGATAATAGGAAAGTTATATTCTTTTTTTAAAGAAAAAAATATTTTTTAAAGTTTAAATAAATATCTTCACAGATACATGGTGTGTAGCATTTTTAAAAAGTGCGTAAAGGTGCTTATTTTCAATTTTCGTTATTTAAAGGTGCTTTTCATTGGGTGTTTTTAAAAAAGTGCTTAATAGTCCCTTTTCCAAAATGAGATTTTTTTTTTTACCATGTCGTTTTTTGCCACGTTTTATACAAAAGCGTGCTTTTCACATTGTTCTGTTCAATGTTTTCACAATTCATTCAACCACAATCTATTTCGGCTTACCTTCGCTCCCTAGCGTATGAAAGCGCCAATCATTTTACATGTTTGATAAAATATTTATGAATACTCGTGTGTGTCTACTGAGCTGAGTTCAGTGAGATTCTTGCACTCTTATGTGCAAATCTGCTGTATTTTGCAAGATATTCTCCATTTCAGACCTCATTTTCCACCCTCTGATATCGAACCGAAAAATCTCTCGATCATTTTATGATGGCTAATATAATCAAGAAAAGAGTTCTTTGTCCGAAACTAGTTATTTTATCATGATCGTGTAAAGTCTTTGAAATTTTTTTTGTATTTTGTTGATGTGTATAGTGCTTAAAAATATTGTTTGAGTGCTTAAAAAGTACTTAAAAGGTTCTTATTTTTTGTTATAAAATTTGGTTACGCCCCTTAAGATAGTTATTATAGATTATTTAATTATTTTTACACAATTGAAAATATTATAAAAACAATTTATAGTGTTGAACTTCGTTATTAGGGTATCCTTCATGTAAATTTTTCAAGTCCAAAGAATGTCTGCTTAACCGAGGTTTCACTGTATAGATCTAATATATATATACATATATTTGTAATGCTTTCTTTTCGAGCTTTCTGCCGTACTTTTGAGCCAAGTATTTAATTTATCACAATACGGAGAAAGTTCATTTTCTAACAATTATCCCTCTGATTGTTAATTTGCAGTCGTGTTTTGAAAGGATATATCCATAATAATTTTTACTAAACATTTATCGAGGAAAAGAGTAAAGAAAAGCTCTTTAAAAATTTAAATGGAGACAATTTACGTGGCTCCTGGACACAAATTCACTCTACGATTTCCAAAAGACAAGTGTGCGCTTTTTTCACATGTAGCATATAGTTATTCTTTTATGTCATGTGATCTATAATATCCAGACTTCCTCTTTAGAATTGGCGCCGTAAGATGTAATCATACGACCAAACGAAGATGAATTAATATCTCAAAATATTTATTAATTTGAATGATTTTCGGTGTCACAAAGGCATTTTACTTAAGCAGTATGGATTCATTTTATGAATAAAAATTACATTTCTATTCAATTAAAGTTAATATATATGCAAAGAGCAAAGTTAATAATGTGAAAGACATTATTTAAAGTTCTCTTCAATCTGAAAGGCTAGTCTGCAATTAAAATGTAATTCTTTTTTTAAGTTTAAAGTCCTTTTGATTTTATTAAGCTATTTCACATGTTACATATATATACACATATATGTATATATATATGTATATAAGACTTCATATGCATTCTGATTTTGTGACTATCCTATAAGAATATGGTTTCCTTTTTCATAGTTTTAACCCATTTATTTTTCATGTGCTAAACCCTGCTTTCCTTTTCTGTGTAGAATAATTGTTCCTTTATTCCAGGCTGTCAAGGAATTCTTCAGTGTCTTATGTGAGAGCAGATGAACTGGAAAGTGTTGAATTTCCTAAGCAGAGAAAAACAAGCTTACCTGGCATTGTTGATGTGTCTGTTGAAAGAGTGTGTAGGCACTCAGGAAACAGTGAACACACCTACATACTATTCACTCCAATCAAAGAAGATGTAAGTTTATAATGCAGCGATGTAACGAATAGTGATTTGGCTGAATAACTAAATACGGAATATTTGGCCAAAAAAATAGCCAGAGTACCAAATATTCGGTGAGCGAATAGCAACATTAAAAAAAAAAAATCAGGAATAATATTGTTTATTTATTTATTTTTTATATAAAAACTGTGATGGCCCTTTGAGATAGGTAGAATTAAAATGGACTTAGTTTTATTAAACAAGTTTTATTTAACTTTAACAAGTCCAGATCTATCAGTCTATATTCACTGGGAAGATCTTGTAGTTGATATTCTAAATTTCCAAATTGCTTTTTCTGGCAAAATTATTCCAGTCTCAATTCTGCAATCAACATTTCCAGAAAGATAACTTCAGGGTTGACAACTTTTACAGATAATATGTAAACTATCTTTTTCTGGAACTGTGGTGGCACAGTTTGTTAGGCTCTAAACTGTCCTTGGGAAGAACCGGAGTCCGATCCTCGATGGCGGTTAAAAGCCCGCCCTGTGACCTGCGCATAATGCTGACTACTCAAGCGGTGGGTCGCGAAATTGTGGAACCTTAACCTCCATTATCTCCTGTCACACAGCAGGCTGTTGTGGCAATACAGCTTACCCCTTTGTCTTATTTCTATTCAATTATTCTGAGAGACCAAAAATATATAATCATTTTGGCACTTTGAATTTTTTTAAATTAAAATTTTGATAATATTGTGCCAATTCAAATTTTATTCATGCATGTGCTAAAAGGAAGAAGCTTAATTCGTATAGTTAAAGTGCTAATATACATTTCTAAAAAAAGTGTAGGATAAGAATTTTGTGTAATCTGAAATAACAGCTATTACTTATTTCAATTTCTTTTTTCTCGCTCCTCAGCTAAACTTTCCTTTTTTAGTACATTTCCCCCTCTCCTCCCCCCAGTGAATGCAGTTTTTAAATCCATTCTCCGGCTTCATGTTTCATTAAAAATAAAGCAAACGCTGTCTTTAACAACTAATGGACATGAAACAATTGACTATGACTGAAAATAAAATTTAGTGAGCGGTGATCATACGAAGCAGTATTCTCGTTAGTAGGCATTAAAAAAGAGAATTTATTTTAATTCGTTTAAAGATTTTTCTACTCCAGAATCTTTGTGCATAAAATAAATTATAATAGATTTGTGCATACAATACAATGCATCTACTTGTGTTACTTCACTATATTTTTTCTCCGGCTTATTACCATTGCACGATATGCCGATTTGATAGATTGATTCTTACAATTGATAGATTTTGCGGAAAGTAGTTCAACAGCTATTTTCTTTCCCTTGCTTGTACAATGTTAAAATAGAATTTCAAAAAACTAATTACAAAGCATATATTTTTGATCTTTTTTTCATTGTTGAAAAATGTGGCTTATCAAACAATAATACCAAATAAATTTGAAAAATAACTGGTTGACACGTTGAATGCCATGGGGGACACAGGTGACCGGCACTGAGTTTGTTCGTAGCCAAGATTATTAGAAACGCATAATTGGTAATGCTTTTAATTTTTTTTATATTATTATCGATACGAAAATGATTTGAAGAAATTAATGCAATGTAGAACCCACAAAAATAATTTTGGCCAGATGGGCAAGTCATGTAAAATTAGCAATGTGTTAATTAAAAGGATTGGAGGAGGGTTGAAAAATACGGAATTTAAAAAAATAGAAAAAAGCTGTGATCGCCTTATTACGATCCCATTGGTGAAATGCTTTTTCTTTCTGGATTGACTCCGTTAAACATTTCAAATCATGGACTGTCTCAATTGATGTTTGTCCTCTTTCATATGCTGCCTATGTACGTGTTTCGAAATACTTTTCCTTCTTCAGCATTCATATTTATTTTTAAATCATCGTCCAGCCAGTCATTATAAGTTAATAATAAAAAGAATGTAAAAATACTTTTAATTATTATTCTGTAAATACATTAAGAATGCCTGCTAGTGAAAATAAAGATAAAAACAGCAGAGGTCTCCATAGCAACGCATGTAATGACTACGCATGCACACTGTTTACTATTACTCTTGAACACAGTTGAAAAGTGTTGACGCCATCAAATCCAAACTAAGACCCATTTTGCCAATTGGTAATAATCCATTTTTGTCATTTACGTAGATTTTTCTGTTGCGTTTCGAAATAGGCCAATGCGTTTCAAACCGCGTCTTCCGAAACAGAAAAAATGTCCTTGACCTTAGCTTATCATTTTAGTAAAAATATTAATTTTGGTATTATGAATTATTTATGTCTTTTTTTTTTTACAGCAAGTTCCTCTGTACCAATTTTACGAAAGAAACGTGAAGGAGCGTGTTTCGTTTTGTCGAAGTGGCTCAAAAAATTTGTCTCCCATCATGTGGATTCCCGAGGCTTCTTCGAGTGAAGCAAAATCTCCACAACTCTCGGTTGTCGAGCAACTGAGTCCAGAAGCAGCTGACATCAAAATGCTTTGGTGTGAACTTCCTGAGGTGAGTTTCCTTTCATTGGTTGGTAAAAAGGATTTTTTGTACTGTTAAACTTCGCTACAACAATATTTTAGGGACCCAAATAAATAAATAATGTTGTAGAGGGATATATTGTTATATTGAGGGCCTTCATACTTTGGGGACACTGCTTGGGCCAGCTGGGTATGAAATCACACTTCACTTAAATCAAAACACTCTCGAGAACTGTATATAAAACGCTCATTTTATTGGCGCTCTTCACGTGGTGTTCACTAACACACGTACACAGGGAGGAGGGATCTCACAGAGCACTTCAAAGAAACACATTTTTGAGGTTCGTATAGATGGCGCTTTAACAGACACAGTAAGATTTTTTTTAAATGTTAATGTTATATATGTATGTTACGGACGGGGAGTGTCGATGAAGCTTCAAAGCAGTCTAGGGTTGCATTTTAAAGCTTTTATTATGACAAAAAACACTTAAATGGCAGTACAAAATAATTAGAGCTGGAACATCTTAATGAGCTCGCTCCCCGTAGCCGTTCAGTGAGAGAATGTCCGGGAGTCTGCTTACTTACAGGTGGCGCTGCATGGCGTATGCAACATGTATTAACTATAAATCTATTTAAATATTATATAAAAATTTAACTTGCAGAGTGTTAATCGTGGTTAAATATGAAATCAGTGACTTCCTAAGAGATTAGGGGGGCAATTCTAAGAATGGAAGGTTTTGGGGTGGTCTATGTACGTTGAATACTAAAGCCATTCACTGTGGCGAAAAGAAATAAGATAAGTTCATACATAATCAGCCGTGAGTCTTCTCGTGTCAGAAAAGACGGGGGGGGGATAGCAAAATATGATAAAGTAAGATTTTTTACATTAAATGAATAATGGGGCCAATAATAAATGGAGAAAATAAGGTTGAAATATGAAGAAAAAATTGTTTTACAGGGGTTTATTACTTTAAAGAATATCGCAACATTGAGAGGAGGATAACATTAATTCTTATGCAAGTTCGTTGGGACCACAAAACATTATTGTAATAGAGGGAGTCATTGTTGTATCGGATGTTGTAGTAGCGAGAGCTTACTGTATTAAAAAAGAAACGACCCTAATTTTAGTTTTATACGTTGACCACTACTCATAAAATCATTATAAAACTATCCTTTTATGCAACCGTGATGACGGTTTTGTAAAATCTAATTCTATAGGACGTTTGTTTAAAATGATCAAAAACACAGCTTTTTCTTTAGCTTTGAAAGCATGTAAATAGCAAATTTCTCTGTGCCTTCTGTGAAAAAAGGGACTGAAGCTATAGGAGTGAATTAAAGGTCTCAATTTTAATAGGCGCACCATCATTAGTTTTTTTTTTCTTTAAATCCGATTTTTTAAAGTGAGTTTTATCTCAATGTCTAATTTAAGATAAAGAAATTTTTTAATACAAGGGACAATTATTACTTACAACTGCAAATTAAATAATTTCTAAAAATATGTGAATTACTATGTACCTTTTTAGGTGAATCTTAAACTCAAATTTTATGTTTTTTTAAACAGAACAGTTTTGGAATATTAATTATTAAAATAATTATATAATGAATTAATTCGTATTAATTTTTAATTTATAGTACCATTAAAATAAACATTAAATCTTTAATATTAAAATTATGAGGTAAAACTTTATTATTACTGAGGATTACTGAAAATCATTATAAGTTATGTGTGATTATTACTGAAATCATAATTTTCAAGTTGGCATCTCTGCTTCTGTGAAAAAAGGGAATGATGCTGTAGGAGTGAATTAAGGGTCTCAATTTTAATAGGCAACGGGCACCATCATTAGTTTTTTTTTTTTTTTTTTTAAANCATCATTAGTTTTTTTTTTGTTTAAATCCGATTTTTTAAAGTGAGTTTTATCTCAATGGCTAATTTAAGATAAAGAAATTTATTAATACAAGGGGCAATTATTACTTACAACTGCAAATTAAATAATTTCTAAAAGTATGTGAATTGCTTATCCATTTGAAATTTTTCAGATGGTGTTATTCACTTTTTCACTCTGTTGTATAAGTTTCTGAAATTACCTGTAAAATCCCCTTTTTATATGCTCTTCAAATTTGACGTCATTTGATTTTTTATTTATTTATTTAGTTAACTTTTTAGTTTTGGATACACAGTTAAAGACACAGTTTATTTTATTTGTTTGTAAGGGAGAGCCAGAGAGATACTTTATAAGCTTATATTCATGATTAATATTCATTTTTTATCAGCAAATAGTTATAATCATGAACTCAAGAAAGAAAGACATATTTGTAAATTTTAATTACTTCTCCAGGTCATCATAGGTATGTAAATGGTATAGGTATGTGTAAAATTTTAAATATATTATAAGTAAACTGAGAAATATTGAAAAAAAAGGAAGAAAAAACTTGTTTAAAGGTTTTTTTAATTTTTCAATTTAAACTGTTTTTTTTTTTTAACTCATGAAATTTGTCCGGAATTTTGACTTTGAATTTTGGCTCACAATCACCCATGTTCATTACACTCCTATTGGTATATCTATATATATTTTAAAAAATTTATTCCTCTACATTTGAGTTGTGTGAACTGACCATGTTGAAGTAAAAGCAAATGTGATCTCACAAAATTTTTTTATGTTTATTTGTCTCTGATATGTTAAATATTTTATAATAAAAAAAGATTTAGGGTACAACTGTTGTACCAAACTTCTCTAAAAGGTTAATATTTAACATTTGAAGGTTAAATAACATTAAAAACAATAAATAACATTTGTAGGTTTTATGTTAGTGTTAAAATTTATGTGCGTAACATATTGTTCGTGAGTCAATTTATTTCCCTTTATTTATTTATTTTAGCTTCTAACATTTATTTCAAATTTTTGTGAATATGAAACATGCATTATATTACTGTTTTAGTTTAACGTTTTGTGACATTGCTTTAGTTAAACGTTTTAATTAAATAATAGTTCAATTTTAAGAAACTTCTTTCTTTTTTTTCGCATTTTAAGGGCATTTTCTGTATTTTTTTGGTGATCAATGTCCAGGCTCTAACAATCCTGAAGGTTTGCGGAACATTGCAAAAGCAATGCCCAAAAGACTGTATTTTATAAATTTGACAATAAAAATTTTATAAAATATTGTTCAAATGTTTTTTTATTTTTATTTAAAGGACCAAATAAAATAATTTTATTGCATTTATTTGAAGAATGGAAAAACGGAAATATTTTTTCCATTTGCAATCTAATCTGTATAACCTCTTAAAATTTTTTTCTTGAACAGATTCTTTCATTTTATGTAGATATTGCTAAATTTAACAACATCTTGTTAAAATGAAGAATTTATAAAATTAAATGGAAATAAAATGGGAGAGAAGGATTTTGTGGTATCCGGTAGAGAAATTATCTTTGAGTTTAATTTTTTGTGGGCAAAATAATGTCGTAAGACAAAAACTCTCATACATGCAAATTACTAAGAGTTTTTTTTCTTCCTGTTTTTAATTTTATTTCATAGGTTTTTTTTTTTCATCTTATATTTTTATGAATGTTGGACAGTTGATTAACTCCAATTCAATTAAACACAAATTATTATTTTCATTGATTGTATCGGGATAGTATGACTTAGTTGTTAACAAGTTCCTCTTTTATTTTTTAATTAATAAGCAAGGGTGCCACTCTTCAGTTCTGGGGACTGAAATCAGTCTTGAAAGAAAATCAGTAGTTGGAAGTTTCATAATTTAATATCTCTTTTCAATTTGTTTTTAATATTAAAATTTATGTATATCCTTAAAATTGTAACAAATGTTTGCTGTTAAGTAAAAATAAAAATTACATTTTATTGTAAACATTGGTAATCTTTATAATTACTGTGAAATGATCAAGTAATGATGTAGCTCATTAATGAAAAAATGAGATTGAACTTCAACGCTTGCTTGCTAAAACAAAATTTGTACTATTGTTCTATCTAAATATTCATGTTTTTATTTTTCCCAAGCGTTTTTTAATACTGCCCCAAGTTAAATTGAGATTATTATTTTTTAAAAAAAGAGGAAATTATAGAGATAGGACAAAAAATAAATAATGATGAAGTGAAAAAATAAATGGAGATATGTATAGCTTAGAAAAAATTGGTTGTTTATTAATCAGTGGTTGATGTAAAAAGATGTACAAGGTTAGCTGTTATATTTATCTAGTTTGATGTAAAAAATAAATTAATAGAATGAAAGAAAAAAAAAACTTGATAATTATAATATATAAGTTCTTATTATAGAAAGATACATTCTGGAGTCGGTGAACTGTAAATGTCTGAAAATTCTAGTAAATAATTCTAGATTGTGTTCATTTATCAAAAAAAATAAGTTCCGTCTTGAAATATTTTTAGAGTGGCACCTATGAATAAAATCTCTCTTTATTTTTATTTTTTTTCGTTTTCTTGCAATGTTGTTTCATACTTAAGGATACTTTATTTATTTATCTTATAGCAAAGTATTAAATACATTACATTTTTATCATTTAATTATTATGATTTTATTTATTTTTGTTTATCTCTTGATAAACAGCATTGCTTTTTCTTAGTTATTTATTCTATTTGATTTAACTTTAAATATGGATTGTTTATATATTTATTAGCATCTAAGATGATTTGGTGTTAAAAAATATGTTTATTTTATTTTTATTTTTTAAATTATTGCTTAATTAGGTTTTCTGGTGTTTATTGTATTTAGTTTGTTTATTGCATTTTGTTTGTATATTGCATTTTTGTTTTCAGAAATGTTCTTACGTTTTAATTAAATGTGGTTTATTTCAATTACACATATTTATATATTTTTATTTATTATTTTTTTTTGCAATTACTTTTTTCTTCTCCTTTTTTGAACGTTGCCCTTATTTTCTCTTTCAGTCATGTTCTGACAATTTTTTATTTCTAATCGTAGATTATATCACCCACTTTTTTTAAGTGAAATAATTTATTAATGTTTTCTTAGAATTGCAAATTTATTTCTAATCTGAATTTACATTTTTATTAAATATAAATTTAGTTGACTTTTTTTTTCAATCCTAGAATTTTGTGTAGAATTATCTGGATTGCCAGTATTTTGCTTAGAATTTTGCCCAGAATTACCTGGAAAATTCAAGGAAGAAATTTTTTCTTTTTTGTGTGTGAACTCTGCATTCTGCACTAAAATCACAATTAATAAATTTATTTTTCTTTTTCTAAAATGAATGGATAAATAAAATTCCTTTTTTCTTCTTCTTTCTGCTGCACATAGGATAGCTGAATCTTTTTACTGCATAAGTAAGTACACTTGTTGAGAAGCAGTTTTGTGAACTGTAAACATAAATGAAAATTAAATATTAACAGCAAATAGACTCTTTTTTAGTTTAAATTAGAAGTATCTTTGTTAAAAAATTTTACTTAATTCTGTTCCATGTTTTAAATTTTTTTTAATATTTAATAGGATTAATTTACTTATCAAACTTGAAAATTATTTTAAAAGTCATTTGTTTAAATATAAGTTGAGCTAATTCTTTATATTAAGTATAAAAGAAAAAAGTTGAAAAAAATGTGTCTTAATTCATATAAAGAACAAAGGTGAACTTATTGTCTGCTTATTTCTTTTTTTAAATTTTAGCAGCATTATTTATTTTATTGAGCATTCTTTCAATAATTTTATTTTATTACTAATAAAATGTCATGTGTGTGAAAATTGGTGTTATTCATCAATTTATTATATTGAAGAATGCGTGTTTTATTGCATTATATTTTGAATAATGTATCTTTAATTGAATAATACATGTCTTTTTTTTACCTTAAAAACCCTAATGTTAAGAAGGAAAAAAAATTATGTACTTATTAAAGTGAGAACGATATAGGACTTTCCACTGTTATTTTTCAACCTCAGCAGTAAGAACAACCTTCATTTAATCTTGAACTTATACTCTTCTATTTAAACTAAACTCAGTGGCGCGACAGGCCATAGAGGGAAAAGGTCTACTGTGCCCATCTCTGTTTTCTTGACCTTGGGCTCTGGGGTGCAGGAGCAGATGTTCCGGTCAGATGCCTAGCCGAACGTGGAACCCTCAGTGTTTAGTTCCCCAGCAAGCTCGGTACTCATTTATCGATCCACTGAAGGGATGAAAAGCTGAGTCGACCTTGCCCGGCCTGAGGATTGAACCCAGGACCTGTGGCGCGGAAACGCGAAGCTCTATCACTTATCCCAAACTTATGACTTTTGAGTACTCTTTCTAAATTTTTCGTAACGCTGTGTACCACTAATAATAAAATGAATGTATTTTTTTAAAAATATGTTTACTTTTCTTTTTTGGTACAAAGTTTTCGGTAAAAAATTCTATGTTAGGGATAAAAATTATATTCTGTAAAAATAATCAAAATAATTAGAGTTCATTTCAAACCTTTACTATAAAAAAATTGCGCAAAAGTTAAAAATCACAACTGACTGTGGACACCACTAATTATTAACTGCTAAATCTGCGAAAAATAGCTCAAAGGAAAATACGACATCGTAAATTTTCATGGCTAGATTTGTTTTTAAATAAAATTTGTTTAAATTTTCGTTTGTTGCAAAATATTTCGCGTAAAAATGCGTACCCCCGCTAAACTGTTTCCGTACCCCTGGGGGTACGTGTACCACACTTTGGAAAAAACTGCTCTACCCAATCAAGTTCACGGTTTTAAAACTATGTGAAAGTGATAGGAAGTCGTAAGCCCCAGATAATAATGGTCCAGATTTCAGTGGTATTTTACTAAACTGTATTGTCAGGAATTGAAGTGCAAATATTCAACATTTGTTTTTATATAATGAAAGGTGAAAGAGAGTGGAATTTTGGAAAGAATATCTGCCCAAGAGTTAAAACTTCAGGAAGGAATATTTGAGTTCATCCAGTCTCAGGCATCCTACGTGAGGAGCCTGAAAGTCCTCTACGAGAATTTCATTCAGGCTCCAGAGTTCTCATCCGTCCTCAGTAAACACGAACAGGACGTCCTCTTTTCAGACATCATTCACCTCAAGGAAGTGAGCGACAGGTAATCCTTTTTTTTCCATATTATTCAGGGTTAGCTGATTAACCAGTATTGAAATAGTCACAAATACAGTGCCACCATTCAAGGTTATAAAGTTGTTATAAAATTTGTAGTATTATTTTTAATTGATAATTGAATCCCCTCATTTGTGACCTGGATGTGATATGAACTTGCCAATTGAAACGACATAAATGCATCTTATGTGGAATATAAGGTTTTGAAACTGTCAGCTAAAAACGTTACAATTCAACTAAATGGTAGGCAATCTACTGTGTCCATAGACCATGTAAAGCCAGCATAGGGTAAACCAACCAGTGAAGGAACATTTCAAATATATTGATTAAAAATAAGAATTTGAAAGTTTTTCTTTGATTAGTAACAATAGCTTACTGCCAAACAATAGGAAGTCATCTAGCAATGTTTTGGATTACCTGGTCAAATAGACTTCTAGAGAAGTCTATTTGACCAGGTAACAAGGTGTTGCAGAGATAATAACAAATTCAAAATTTTTTCTAGAGAAAAAATTTTGAATTTGTTATTATCTCTGCAACACCTTGTTTCTTTGAAAAAATTATAAGGTGAGTGTTTGTATTTATATGTTTGAAGTGGAATTAATTGCATGTAATAGTTTTATTTTTCTCACTGTGAAAAAGAGAATTCAAAATATAGTTATTGAAGTTACGTTTTATTTTTTTTAAGCATCATAGCATAATAAAGTACTGAGATAAGGGGGTGTTTATTCACTGGATCACCAAACGATGAAAAACCAGTGAAGGAACAAGTGTTCCTTTACTGGTTTTTTTTCTAAGTTAATGAAAATAAAAGATAAACTTTAATTTTCTTGTACCTTTAGTGATGTTCCGCATCAAAAGTATGTTAAAAATACGAAAAACAACTTCTAACCAGTGAGGGAACAGGCATGTTCCTTTACTGGGCATAGATTTCCCAGTGAATGAACAGTATGTGTTAATATGTTGACACTTTAATTTTCAATTCATGATTACAAAAAAAAGTTAACATTTTCCAAGTATTTATATGTTATAATTTCAAGAATAGGCTTGTTTTTAAATATTTGTATGGCTTATAAATTCATAAAGAGCATTAAAAAATAACCAAAATTAAGTGTTCCTTTACTGGGTGTTCATTCACTGGTAAGAGCTGTTCCTTCACTTGGTCTTCTTACTACTTGTTATTTGAACCTCCAAAACTTTAAAACAATATTATGTAAGTTCTCTACAATTTTTTTACATAATTTGCAATTAGTAACAAATATGTTGACACTGTCATTTAACTAAAATTACGAATTTTGAAATTAATATGGTTTTTTAAAAGGTAAGCGAAGCTTAATTGTTCCTTCACTGGTTAGTTTACCCTATTTGATTCCTACTACAGAGAAGGTTGAATCAAACTTACGGGTTGTAAAACCTGGAAGTTCCAAATCCTTACGTACAGAAAAAAATCATTCTCCCATGGAACCCGACAAAATTGTGACTAGGTCTGGAAGACATGTACACTTTCCCAGCAAAACTGGCAACTTATGCTTGTTATTAACATTATTAACTGAGCAAGGTTGTTTAGTATAAAATATTATTTATCAATGATGTAAATAGTGTAATATTCAAAATTTTATGTGAAATATTATGTCGTTTCAGAGTATGATTCTATGTCACTGGGGGGATACTCTGTAGTATTATTCTTAATCGATAAGGAATCGATTAAGCAAGATGATTATAAATTATTTCTTATATGTTGGATAGCAACAGTTTGGAGGAAAAATGGAACAGCTATGGTGAATAAAATATTTGCTAACCTTCTGAGGAAGTCTCTCTTGTATTAAGGTGATAAAACAACACTTCAAATGCAAGGTTACAAATGACCCTATTTGTTGACTCAGGGCTTGTGATGTAGCTGTACTATCCCTTAAAACCTTGTGGATAATATGTCTGTCTTCTCGGCTGTCAGTGATGGGGGGATCGTTGAGATTGCAGGGCGTTCCGTGCGACCGTCACAAGCCCATTGATTCCATATTCTGCTGACAGTTGTGAGATCTCGACCAACGCGAGCAGCAATACTTCGGTACGATAAGCCGCAATCCCGGTAGGCCACGATTTGACCTCGATCAAACTCAGGCGCATGTTGGTAGGCATTTCTCTTTCTTGCACGCTCAGGTCCGTTCTTTTTCACACAAGAGCCATGCTCAAATTCAATTTCTGTATGAGAAACTTACTGTCAGATCTCTTCTTTTAAACACATTGTAGGTGCTGCTTCCACCTCTTTCATTGCATGAATGCTCTGATAAGCTAATCATCTACATACCGCAACATGCTTTATCCGTCCTGCAAATTTCACATTCATGGTGTGTTGCCTTCCTGGTGTTGTGATTTTAATGGCCAGTAGTGTGTATGTATATATATTAGTGCATATAGCCTAATTATACTTGGGAAGATTTCTGTATCGTGATCAGTGCCAGAATAATCGCCAAGTCTTGGTCACTTCCGGGCAGTGGCCCTCGAGAAACTGAAAAAACATCTAAGAAAGGGACCCGTACGAAAGGTACAACCCTTAGCCACCCTGAGCAAACCTCTACATTCGACATGCTATTCAGCAGCTTATCGATTGTAGTTGGCGCGACAGATCGCAATACAGATATATCCTCCTATATATATATATATGTATGTATGTATTTTAAAAATAGTTTAAGAATATTTTTTGAGCTCTTGAAAAGTGCTTATTTTTTGTTCAAAAAGTTGATTACAAACCCTGTTTAAAAAAAAATTTTATGTGAGTGATTTGAACACAGTTTTGTTGCCACCATTTCAGTTTTTCAAAACCTTATTATCTCTGTGTAAAGGGAAACTATCTTATTTGATGTATGCACACATTGGTGGTAATAACCATTAAGTAAGTTTGTATAAAATAGAATTAAGCAAAGAAATTATGCTATATAATAAATTATATATATTGTATTATATATACGCCATTTCACCGCCGTAACTCAGAAACAGGTGCCCACTGGGTGACGAAAAGAGAGTATCAATTCCGACGTTTCTGAGACTAATGGGAAATAGATTCATATGCCTGCCTTTTTAAAACAAAGTTTCAAATTATTTCAGAATTTCAAATTATTGAGGCTTATATTTGCAATGTTCTACTGTATATTCTGTTATTTCAAAAGATTGTATATTGTCATTTATAATGTAAATTGTACTTGATTAACGTATTTTTCCCTCATTCTTACAGAATACTGTACGATGTGACTGCAAGATGGGGTGACAGTATTTTGATACCAGATATTTGTGATATTATCTTGCATCATGCCCAGTTGCCCTCTTTTTCAATATACGTAAAATATTGCTCAAACAGAGTGTATCAGGAACGGACTCTAAAGGAGCTCAAGTGAGTTTTACTTCTGTTTTATTTCTGTTCTTTAGCCATTTTATTATCCTTGTCACAAAAATCATGCTCGTTATTATTGAGAAAAATAAAGCATCACCACTGGCCTCGGCAACTAAAATATGAAAAAAGAGTGATTAAAAAATTATCTGTCCATAACCACTTTTTTTTTGTTTACTGAAAGGGCAAACCCTTATTCTCTAAAACACATGTTTTGTCGCCCTCCGTGGCAGAATCGCGGTGACAATGTCACAGAACTCTACAGATTCCTTGCTGAAAGATTTTTCTTTTGGGAAGTAAAAAATTTTGGTTTGCTTTTCTGCGGAAATTTATATGCAAAATTTAATTTTGGTATTTAAGCAATCACTTTTTGAAGCGCTTTTTGAAGTTATGCCGATATCCATATTGATTGTATTTTCAGCAGTTATTGACATTGATTTTCACCTGGCTTTTAGATATCCCGATACATTTCAGGCCATGTGGGAAATTCAAATTCCACCTTTGATCATTTACTTTTTTAGGGAATAATTCTATAGATTTTTTTTGCCAGTTGTTGCTTTTGATTTCCACATAGTTTTTAAAACCCGATATTTTTTAAACTGTATTATTTATTGCAGCAATCAAATCTTGAAACGAAACATGCATTCGAGTGACCCCTTTTGAAGATCTGTTTTTCGGTAATAACTGCTACAAATTTCGTGATATTTAATTATTTTTTTTAATATGATTATAGTTTTTAAAATACGAGAAAGGAAATAATTACTGCCTCCCCCCAACAAAATGCGAGAATATCGCTCATAATATTAGAATCCAAAAAATGTTACGTATTCAATTTTAAAAAATTATATAGTTTTTTGTTTTTGTAAACCCAGCATTTTTGTTACCTTAAATTAGTAACATACATCTTTGTTATTATTGAAAGTATCTTGCTGAAAGATATTAGTGCAAGAGTGTTTTGTCACAGAAATCCCGAAAAATTTCTGCCACAGGATTTGTAGCTAACCTCGGGGAGAGTTACCAGAATTTCGCTAATCTCAAAACCGTTGATTTACTGATTTTTTTAATCAATGATTTATATTCAAAATTGTTTTGAAGTTCTGTTGATCTAAAATTTAAATTTCGTTACTTACGTCGAATCTCGTTACTAAGACTTGTTTCCAGCCCCCCCCCCCCCCAGTTNGCCCCCCCCCCCCAAGTTCTTATTCCCGTGTGATCACGAATTTTTTTTTATTACTCCGATTTATCAAAGAAAATCACAGCTTTCGATAAATTTCAAGAACACAAGGAAAAAAAAATTCCATAACTTCAGTTAGAATTTTAACTACTGAGGCAAACATAAAATTGATAATCTAAAAGGTAATTTCGAAATGTAAAACATTTAAGAAATCAATCCTAGAAAAATTAGTGTTTTTTCTGATTTGATTTTTTTCTTAAAAAAAACTTTTTTTTTAATAAGTAGCAATTTTGTTACAAATTCTGATTTGCAAAGATGATTGTGTTCCGGATTTTTTGCTGATTGCGATCCGGAAGTTTCCGGAAATCCAAGTTCCAGAAGTTTCGAGAAATCATCTATCACATTTATGTTTAAAAATTCTTGTATATTTTATTTAAAAATATTAGAACTAGAATTTATACTTGGTATCTCTATCATTTGTAAATATTTTTTTTTCTGGTCGAATAAAAAATGCGATTCGAGATAAGAATAAGCTTATACATAATTGTTCATTTAAATTATGCTGCATATAATTTATTTAGCATTTCATGTTTTGAAAATATCAATGATTTAAATTTATGAAGACATTAATTTTTTGAAATGCGTCATTAAAGATTTTTCTCAAAACATTTTTAGGACTTTTGAGTTGGGCTTATAATCACCCCCTAGATTTGTAACAGAAGAATTAAGCATTTTTAAAAAGTGCTGAAAGGTGCTTACGTTTGATTTTCGTTTTTTAAAAAGCCCTTAAAGGTGCTTTTTTAATTGGATGTTTATGAAAAGTGCTTAATTTTCCCTTTTCCAAGATGACATTTTTCCTTTACCATGTCGATTTTTACCACGAATTATGCAAAAAGACAATTTTCACATTCAACATTTCCACAAAATAATTCAACTCCAATCTATTTCGGCGTGCCATCTGTCCGCTGTGTATGGCAACGCCATTCGCTTTACATGATTCAAAATTTTGTGATTTTTTACAGTTGTCAAAAACTATGAACAAAAGTTTTTTTTTTTTGACATGATGGAAAAACTTGCCAAACCTTCCTAATTATGATTTTTTAGTGCTTAAAAATATTTGTTGAGTGCTTGTAAAGTGCTTAAGAGGTGCTTATTTTTTGTTGAAAAATTTGGCTATGCACCCTGAAGCGAATTAATTTTTAATGTGATGTAATGACATGGAAATTTTGAATCGTTAATTTCAGTCAACACTTATCAAACCACGCTCGATACCATCACAAGTGCGTGTTTTGATAATGCATAAATGCCTGTCTTCTTTCTTTTGCAGTTAATTTAATTGATTTCCCTATAGGTTTTAAACCTTCTATGAAACATAAAATCACGCTTTTGAGTAATTACTTTTTAATGAGCTCTAGTGCGTCAAAATCATCATAAATCCAAGCTGTGTTTCGGTCATTTTATCTGCTATTTTTGCTGCAAATTTCCTGTTTTTTTTCCCCTTTAAAATCCCTGTATTGTTTAGCATTATTACGAAATGCAAAGTTCAATTTGTGCATTTATTAGTCACTTTTTACTGTGACGATATCACTTTTTTTTAAAAATGATTTTTTAATAATTATTTCTACTGATATTAACATGTTTTTTTTCTATAAACTATCAATACTTTTATACGATATTATTAAGAAATAAGTAATTTGAATCACACACCTGAATAATTACTTTTTTACACAAAATATATTATGTTACAGGGAATTGAAATAGTTAACCTGAATATTCCCTATTGATTTTTCATAACTTTTGTAATGGTAATTGTTTTCATAATTTCATTCCAGTAACTTTTGTTATCACTATTGATTTTCGTTTAAAATTTATACGGTTATTAAGGGTCATTATTCGGTTAAAATTTAAAATTGATACTTTTAATATGATATTATTTATTACAACACTTGAATCTCACAATTTACATTTAATTCACTCTTCCAATTCATGTGATTACAATGTGCATACACATTGTTTTAGCATTAATCTTTATTCAGTTAGTACCTTATATTGCACGGTTTTATGTATTTTTTGTGATGCAATAATGACTTATAAAGTGCAACAAGGAAAAAAAAAGGAATACATAATTTTTTTCAATGCATATATTCTTTTATGTGCTGAAAAGAAAGAAAGCTTATTAGACAAGGAAAAATTTTCTTTCTCTCTTTAAATTTTATAAATGTTTCTTTTGTTCATTAAAATTAGTCTTTTATTTATTTTCTGTGTATTAAAAAAAGCGTTAAAAGAATTAAGGAAATAATTTCAGATAATTTCTTGTTGTTATTGATTTTATGTTTATAAATTCAGGGATGCTACGCCTGCGCCATTTGCGACAAACTGAGACAAAACGGCATAACTGCGCCATTTTGCGACATTCAGCTAAGTTTCTGCCAAAGCTGCGCCATTCTGAGACAAAACGTCCAAAATTTGGCAAACCTGAATGCAGTTTCAAATATTAATCTGCATTGCCGTGAGTCAATGGAGATCATTTTGCCGTTCACGTCTCCACGGGATAAAAGACTTCCACAAAAAAGCGGAAATCCGCTTTTTTCTCCCAATTTTTAAAATTTTCGACCATGTTCCAAAAACTAAAATTTTTAGGGAGTCCAATTAGAGAAACCCAAGCCGCCGGAACGATAGTCGGATTCCCGCGACTTCCGCTATAGAGTGGGAAGGAGTCTAAGCGTTTCGTTCTACCACCGATATTTGATTTTTTTTTTTTTTTTTGGCCATCNTCCCAAGGGAGTGGGGGAAGAAAGACAGGTGTAAGCTAACTAAGTTTTGTCTTCGGCAGATGCTTCTTCCTTTATTCATCTGAAATTAATATTCTGCGTTCAGCAGTATAGGCCAAATACCAAATATTTGTATGTCGCATCTCTGATTTCGTCATTGTCGTTTATTTTTGAAAATTTAATTTTTTTTAATTTTAATTTTACAGTGTTGAGCATAATCTTATATGTCTTTACAATTTAAAAACTCCTTGAAATTTTTTTTTTGCAATAACAGGACCCTACTTGCACACATTCACAAAAGCAGGACCCTGGTTGAAAGAATGTGACTTAACGTTTATTTTATATTCACACATTACGAGTCATTTTTTCACAATTTTACAAAAACGGACCTTTCACAAAATATCTGGACAGACCCCTGTTAGCTAATTAAAAAATTATCAGAAAAGTGAGTTTTTAAAGCATGCAGCTTTATTTCAAACATACAATTCCCAGCCATGGCCGCTCAATGTTAACAGCTCAACATTACTATATTTTAACAATTGTGGTAAGAATGTTATGTATTTTTGTGCTTCTTTCCCCAAACTTTGCCTCTGCTCCATTGAGAAGACTTAACAGCTACCAGGATCGAATACTCTTACAAAACTCTCTTCAACCTCTTTCACTTTCCTCTAAAGACATTGTCAGAAATTATTCAGTTTTGCGAAAACTTGTTTTGGTGTATTAATAAAAAATAATGAAATTTTGGTAACCAATGAATTTTAACTCAAATTTATCTATGATAATGGGTCTATTCTACAAAACTGGATGATCCAATTTCAGTGTTTAAACGCTTTTGGAATGCACACATGGAATGGGGATAATTAAAGCAGAGATGATTGTGCTGCTGAAAAAATCCAGATTTTTCGCTAACCGCAATTCGGAAATTTCCGGAAATCCAAAGTCCAGAAGTTTACAGAAATCATCAATCATATTTATGTATAAAAATTCTTGTATATTTTATTTAAAAGCATTAGAACTAGAATTTATACTTGGCGTCTCTTTCATTAGTAAATATTTTTTTCTGGTAGTGATTAGATGTGTAAATGTGATTAAAGATCTGGTAGTGATAAATGTGATTAGAGATAAAAAGTAAACTAAATACATAATTATTAATTTAAATTATGCTGCATGTAATTTATTTAGAATTTCACGTTGTGAAAATATCAATGTCTTAAATTTATGAAGACGTTAATTTTTTGAAATGAGTCATTAATGATTTTACTCAGGAAATTTTCAGGATTTTTTAAATTGGGCTCGCAATCACCCCTGTTGAAGTCATACCAACAATTTCAAAAAATTTATAATAGATTGTTTTGAAATGAAACGCTGAAGCTTTTAATTGTAAATATCAGGTCAATCAAATTGCGCTCAGAAAAAACCTAGTGAGTTTTTTTCAAGTTGGAGCCACTTGAAAAAAAAAAAAAAAAAAACCTTCAACCCAAGTGGTTTTTTTCCCCATCACATTTTAACAATTCAAATTGTATTTCCAATCCATTTGTTGTTGTTTTTTGCAATTATCAAAACAGTTTGTTTTTTAAAATAATGGACAGATTGTTCTATAAGTGTAAATTATTTACTATACAAAGTACATGAAGGATTAATATTTTTATTGTCTGTTTTATTTAGAGAAGCAAAACTTAATATAAATATAACTGAAAAGTAAATTATCTGTTTGTTTAAATAAAACCATGTTTCTAAATTGTAATACATCACCTGTTAATATATGAACCAAATTATATGAAATGTTATCCATTGCACACATTTCATAGTTTATTAAAGTTGTTATCTTTTTAGGGTTTGTCATATATCAACAGATATATATTACCATTACACATGATGTACATTACCATTACACATGTACATACATATTTAATTTTAAATTTTTTATTTTTGACTGTACCTGTTTCCTTTTACTTTTCAATACTTATTTTAAAAATATTTATGTTAAATATAAGGTTTTAGTGTTGAGCCCGTCAGGGTTGCCACAGACTACTACAATGCGACTATTTGCAACTATTTTCGACCTGAAGCAACTGTGGCAACTTTTTTTGTCTGAAAAGTCTAAAAAAGCAACTATTTTCAAGAAAAGGAGACTATTGGGAGACTTTTCTGTGCTTCTAGCGATGTTTTTTTTTAAAGCGTAAATTGGGTTGACAACCTGCGGTAGCTTCTGAACATAATAATTTTTTTTTTCTTAAAAAATAAAAAATTTTGAATTGCAAATTTGAGTCATCACTTTTTAATGAGCTCAATTTGCACAGATTCCATTGTGAAATCAATTTTGTTTCTCGGTCGCCTTTTCAACAGTTATTGCTACGAAATTCTGCATGATTTTAAAGAACCCTATTTTTAATACGATATTACGATACGTAAATTTTGAACTTTAGTAATAACTTTTCAGTATATACATATATTTGCTAAATCAATTATTAATAAAAGGGAAAATCTTTTTAGAAAGAGTATGTTTTTTTAACAAAAAATTATTTTTCTGAATTAGTTCTGGTACTTAAAAGTATTTCATTTTATGCAAATATACTAATTTTTTTTATAAAAATTTAGTGCTAGAACACTAACGTATATTTAAAAATTATCATATTGACCATCAGCTTGACTAAATGGATCATGGTATATTACAATGAAGTCATTTAATAATATTTTAGTAATATTATTGAAAATTTTTGTTCTTATTTAGACAACTATTTTCATAATTTTAGGCGACTATTTTCATGCTTTAGGCTGCTAGAAGCAAATATTTTGTTCATTTTTTTCTGTGGCAACCCTGTTTGTCAGAAAATTGTTAATTTATGTTTCAGTTGAAGAACAAAACATTTCATCTAATGAGTCAATTACTCTTTGTTTTTTCTTGATGACAGATTTGTCTGAAAAAGAATATTTCTTTTTTTTTAATTAGTTTGATTTAAATTGTGCAATTGCTTATGGACTTAAAAATAGTCTGTTAAGTTTAAATTTTTCAATAAAAAGAAAGAGATAATTTTTAGTCTTGAAGGAGATAATTTTTAGGCTTGAGATTAGCTAATCTTTTTCACTTAATCAGAAGAAAAACTATTTAATTTAACCCTTTGCACTACAAGTACTTTTAAATGCTGTTTGATCTGATATCAGCACTATGGCCTTTAAAATACACAATATAGTATTATTATACAATTTTAAAATTCTTAAAATAATTAGGGTACTTATTATTCAGGTATAAAATTTCTTAATTTTAAAGTGGTGACTGTTGATGGTTCCTCTGTGGGGACATTGGAGTGCGAAGGGTTAATATTGTAAAATCGTATTTCTGTCTGCTAATGTTTTTTTTTTGTTGATGTTAATTACAAAAGAATTTAATATCAATATATAAAATAATTATGAATATTATTGAATATTAATCGATGGATAAAGAGCCACGGAACTAATATTTCAAATAGGACCCAGCTCTTCGTAAAATGGGACCTAGAAATATGAAAGTTCTAAGAACCTAGTCTAGCGGAATCAAATTTAAGGATTGCTTTTTCAGAATGGTGCATAAATCAATAAAAATTATAAAATCATCATTGCTCTTGTTCCCAGTCAGGATTGTTAGAAAAGTGTGCATAAATGAGAAATTTGCATAAAAAGGAACACATATAAAAAAGGGTGAACTGCAATAATTATTATTTTTTTAAAACTTTTTCCAGATTTTCATAGAGTGCAATGAAAGTGCCAGAAAAATGGAACGCTTAGAAGAAATGTTTGTTTTAAACAAACAGTTGGAATTTAAAGAATGTAAGGTATGTGCTTCAGCCTTGATGTGCTTTTATTTAACTTTTTCCTGAGAAAAAATGAGAAAGCAATGTACAGATATTATTATTAAAATTTTATAAATAGAGTAAATTTATATATACTTAAATATATAAATTATAATAATAATAATAAAAGATTAAGTATGGATTTAAGTAATGTGAAACTTTTAAACTATAATTTTCCATTAGCTGTGAAATAATTTGATATTTAATAAACATATTTCAACTGTACCGATTTAAACAATTATTGCCTTGAGAATCTAAGGAATTATGTTTTGTTGAACAAAAACGCTTTTAAAATTTATTAAACTGGCAGGCAGTGTATAAATAATGGGGGGAAAAGACCTGTTCTGCAAAGAGTTAAAATTGAGAATGATTGATTGTTTGTTTTCTGGTCTTAAATTAATTTATTCTTTATTTGATATCTGACTGATACATTTGACTTTTATATTTACGAATTTGTGAGATTATTGAGCTTTAAAGAAAAGAAACATTCATGACTTTATTATTTCAGTCATTAGTTAGTAATAATTTAAAAACAATTTTTGTTAAAATTATTAAGTATTTTAATAGTTTTTTTTAAAAAGAGTATTAATATAGCTTTGATTGATAAAAAGAAATCATGATTTTTATTATCTGATATGTTGCAGGTGATACCATTAATATCAGCCTCTCGTTGGCTATTAAAAAAGGGTGAGCTGATGAAGCTTGAGTTCGATAAGAAGACTTTTGGTCGATCCAATCGATGCGTACGAGTCTCTGTTTTCATATTCCTATTCAATGATTTGCTGGTCGTCACTAAAAGAAAGAAGTGAGTCTCTTTTTGGTTTTTAAGACCTTATATATATATATATATATATATATTTCTCAAAACTATAAACTATTTCACGAAATAATTTATCTTTTAATCAGATCCTTCACAAATTTGTTTATCTTCATTTTTGTTTTGTTTATCTAATAAACCCTTCCCGGGGCGGGGAAAGAAAGGCGGTTCGAGACAAACTAAGTTTCCCTAAGTTTATATTCCGAATGTAGTATTCTAAGAAAATATTTCTACTTTTACAAACATCGAGTGCACATTCTTATTAATATTAAATGATATTTTTTTTTTTAAAATAAATNACAACTCAGTTATGCATAACTTTTAATGTGTTATGCATTAACTTTTAATGTGTTGTGTATTTAAGTTTACTTAATGCATAACTTTTAATGCATAACACATTAAAAGTTATGCATTAAGTAAACTTAAATACACAACACATTAAAAGTTAATGCATAACACATTAAAAGTTATGCATAACTGAGTTGTGTTATTTAAAATATGTCAATTGAAATTCCTAAAAATGTGAGTGATTTTGTTTTCATTATTCGTCCGAAATGAATATTCTGTGTTGAGCAGTGTAGGCTAAATACCAAATATTTGAATGTGGCATCTCTAATTTAGTAGAACCAATTGTTGAGCAGAATCTTATATCTGTTTACAATTTAAGAACTTCTTGAGAAGGTTTTTATAGGGTTCCCACTGTCCTTAAAATCTGCTTAATTTTTATTTTGAAATATCAGGGCCCCTGAAAGTACTTAATTTTGGCACAAGGTTTTTAAAAGTTCTTAATTTTTCAGCATCACTGGAGTTGATAGGAATCGAACAATTTTTCAGTTAAATTTTTTAAAACAAAATACCGTTCTTTTATCACCTAGAATTAGACCATGCATAGAGGGCATGCATCAAAGACAAAAGTGAATGTGTTTGAGGGGAAGGAAGCATGTCCTTTTATTAATATATTGGTTCTTGCATAATGCTTTTTGGGGGGAGGGCAGTTTTAAGGTACTTAACAAGAAGACCCACACTAACCTTCAAAATTGACAGAATTAAAAAAATTCAGTTCTACTGGTCATTTGCTTATAGAAATTAAGTAAAACCCTAAAAAAAGAAATATCAGAAATATTTTTTGAACTAGAATCCATAGCCAAAACTATTTCATAAAATCTTGAAGAATTTAATTAATTTGTATAATATTTCAATGTGTAATAAGTAACTGAATTTATTAAAAGCAGTGACATTTTTGAAAAATTCATGATTGTACTAAAAATTAAACAGATCTGTAGTAAACTGGGTTTGAAAAATCCCTGCCCACCTATGTTTTTCATCAAAAACCTGGGTTTGATTGACTTTTTGATAGAAAACCAAGTTTTTTCAAAAATACTTAAATTTTTATTCTGAGTACTAAATAAGAATGCGTGATTTGCTTCTAACAAGAAAGTTAAATATTTGTTTACAATTTATAATTTGTTTAGTTGCAATGTAAATTTATTTTTAAAGTTTTAGATTGTTACGCTATTATTTTTGTTTCTTAAGGATAAGCAGAGTGTTACATAATATTTAAATCTACTCAATTAAAAGATCCTTAAATTTTAATAAAATCTTTATTCAGTTAACATTGCAACTTAAAATACTGTTTTTTTTTTAAAAATAATTGAATTTTTTATTCAATTTATGGTTGCTTTAAAAATAGTTCATGTTTTTCACCAGATTGTTTAGTAACATCGTGTAAAGTTAATTCCTAATAAAAGGCTTGGCTGGAAATAATTTTGTGTAAAGTTCATCATAAAAGTAAATATAGCACATTTGTTGTTTAGTAATAATTTCAAAATTGTTAAGTTACATACCGTTCTTAATATGTTTTTCATAAAATATTTCAATATTTTTTTTACAAAACATTACCTGATAAGGTAATATTACAGGATTATTTTATAATAAAAGAATACCACTTTCAGATATCACCTGTTAATTTGTGATAAAAATAAAATATCAAATCATAATAACAGTTAGAGAATATTACGAATGATAAAGAAATATTACTAGTAAAAATCTATAAACGATTAAAATATAAATAATTTATCAGTATTTGTTAATTATCTGCCCTTATCAATTTTCTGGCCATATGAATATGTTGATACCTCTGAAAAATCGTTTTAGACCCTTTTGTTTACATATTTACTAATTGATAAAAAGCTAATAAAAACAAACTAATAAAAACTTATAAAAGAGAACTAATAAAAAACAAATTGGTTTGAAAATTATAAATCTTCTCAAATGTAATTGTATTATTATTCTACAAAAATGTTCATAAAAATATTTATTGCAATGAATTTAAAAAATATATTGAGTTAAATCTTATGAAAAAAATGTGGAATGATTTAAGGTGCTTAGATATTAGTATCCCCTGTTTTTACTCAAAATAGGACTTAATTATACATGGCACAGTTAAGAAAACTATTCTCAAGCATAACTCTAATTCAACTTTTTAGTATTAATTATTTTAATATATACCCTTATAAATGAAAAATTTTATTAATGGAAAAGAAAGAATTTTTTTGGCATAACTGAATATTTAGCAAGATTGGCCCATAAATGAATATGTGATGCAGATCTAGTAGCGAAATATAAAAACTTATTGTGATAAAAGTTTCAATGTTTTTGCCAAATTTCTTTATTTACTCTTTTTTTTTAATATACATGAAAAAAATTGCAAATCTTAATTTCTGGACTTAATTTTACAATTCAATTTCAATGAAATCATTAAAAATAATAATGACGTTACGTGTTAACCTTTAATGATCTGAAAATGTTTTTTAAAAAAATCCAAACCTGGGTTTGCAAAAATTGCCTAGTACTTCTTTGGCGAGCCCTGTTAATAAATGCAATTATCTAAGTGCTTATATTTTAATAAAATTGTTTATTATTTTTTTATTGATTGATTGATTTTTTTTTAAAGAAATGTAAATAATTGGCACTATCATTGGTAGTGTATATATATATATATATATTTATATATGCTTTTTTTCCTTCTTTTTTGAAAATTTTAATGAGTTAGTTTCAAGCTGATCAAAAAATGTAAGGATAATTTCAAAGCGATGTGAAAAAATATCAAACTAAATTAGTATAATAAGTATATTTATTAGAAAAAATAAAGTATGAGAAATAATAATCATTAAATATTTATAGAATTTTCGCTGCGAAATTAAGTTTCCCATTTAGAGCCTAAAACATGATAAATTTGACCATATTCTGATGGTTTTGACTATACTTTTTTGCATGTCCAGATTACCAANTGTGTGTGGAAGGGCCACTTACACAGCGCAGGTTGACTAACGAAGGGTCGCACATATATTTAGTCATGTATATATATATATATTAGTCTGATCAGTAGCCTATTTATTGTGCAGGAATAGTAGTCAAAACGAAGTGGGAAATTTGAAATTTCATCCTGAGACTGCTGAGTGACCGATTGAATATCCTTGTGAAAATTATTTTAAAAATATGCAGAATTGTATGTTTTGTAATTTTCGACTGTCCACAATTTGAATGAAATAGTTTTTGATCAGTTAATGTCTAAAAACTCAAGAACTGCTTATGCTAAGGTCTTGAAATTCAGACATAGGTGATAAAGGGGAAGTCCAGTCCCACCCCTGATAAGTAATATTTCAGGAGTCTTATAAAGTTATTTACTGCTGTTATGTTTTATTATTTTGTATGAATTTCTCTGTGGTAAATATAAAATGCCTAGTGTTGTTCTTTTCAAATTGCGCTGTTTCACTTAGTTATATTTGTGTTTGGAATTCTGTCAAATCTTTTTTTTTTCTTTCAAAGTTAACAATATTAAAAAGTATTAATTGTAACTTTTGATTTGAAAAGTCAACTAGTTGCAGGGTTGCAACAAGCGACTAAAATGCAACTATTTTTGGCATGAGGTGACTATGGCAACTTTTTTTGCCTGAAAAGGCTAAAAAAGCAACTATTTTTAGGAAGAGGAGACTATTGGGAGAATTTTCTGTTCTCCTAGTGATGTTTTTTTAGCATGACTTTGGTTGAAAATCTGATAGTTTCTGAACACACTGAGCTTTTTTTTCTTAAAAAATAAAAAAAAGTTTAACATTTTGAATGGCAAATTTGAGTCTTCACTTTTTAATTCATTCAATCTGCACAGATTCCATTGTAAGTCTATTTCGTTTCTCGATCGCCTTTTTAATGGTTATGCCTTTTTAATGGTTTTCAATGGCTACAAAATTCCGCATGTATTTTTAAAAAAAAAACAATTTTAAAAACGATATTATATTGCTTGAATTTCAAATTTGACTGATCATTTTTCACAATATATATGTGTATGTATATTCCCTTGATCAATTATTGATAAAATTGAAAATAGTGCTAGAGCATAACATTTATATAAAAATTAAAATTATCATATTTGCCACCAACTTGACTAAATGGATCATAGTATATGACAATTAAGTCATTAACAATATTTTAGTCATATTTTTGTTCTTATTCAGGCAACTATTTTCCTAGTTTTTGGCTACTATTTTCATGTTTTAGGCTACTAAGAGCAACTATTTTGTTCATTTTTTTCTGTGGCAACCATGTAGTTGTTACGCATTTTGTCTTTGAATTGTTTTTTTTTTTTTTTTTTTTTTTTTTTTTTTTTTTTTTTTTTTTTTTTTTTTTTTTTTTTTTTTTTTTTGTCTGAATTTTTTTCTCCTTCTGAGATTCGTTAGCTCTAGTATGTTAGGTCTCATCTAATGTTAATTATTCTATGTTGAAAATTTTGGTGATATGATTCAGGCGAATTACGCAAAATCTTTCTCTCAAATATTGCGATACAATTTTCCTTCAGTTTTGTCATTGTCCAAGCTTCAAAAGCATGGATCAAGACTGGCCGGACAAGAGTTTTGTAGATTAAGAACTTTATTTTTCTAGAAGGAAACCTAGATTTAATAAATCTTCTCAGCCCATAGACAGCCCTATTCGCCAGATAGAGTCGGTTTTATATTTCAGGAGTAATTCTGTTGTCAAAGACGGAAAGAAAGATGTCACCTATTTTCTATTTTATTTGGAGAGAAAATGTTGAATTACAAATTTTGACATATTTTTTCCTGCATTAAAGTTCACTTACTGATGCTTTCCTATTATTTTTTTCTTTCTAGTTCGTTGCTTTATATGTACAGAAAGAACTAAACATCATTGCTTAATTTCATAAAACGATCTACATTACAGTGAAAGCATAAAGAAACATTTCACCTTTTAATAGGTTTACAAAAATATTGGAATATTATTAAACAACATAAATAAATCGATTAATTAAATCATTTTATTTGAACCATATTCTAAATAGCAAAAATCAATAGGTAATAAATTTTATATTGTGTTTTTTATTTTATATTATGTTTCTCTTCAGTACATTTTTATAAATTAAACACGAACAAATAGGTTTAACAGTTACATTGAAAAAAATTCAGTGTTAAATTCAAAACTGTTGCAGTAGTTAAAATGTCATACAAGATTCAATGCAGCGTTGGAGCAACACTTTTACAAAATAAAATACAAAGAAAATGGTACTAAAAAACTTTACAAATAAATAGTATGAAGTAAATAAAACTGAATCTGCCCATAAATAAGTGGGAGTCAAAAGATATGTTGTAGTCATGGGCCATTAAGACAGAGGGAGTGTGATTGTTCTTGTTTTCCAGTGGCACCGTTTATGGCCAACAATTCAACTTCTGCCCCACCATTTTATAGAGTGGACGCATTGATACATCTTCTAATTGTAATTTTGACCTGAACCAGACAACGATCAATCTCCAATTTAAGTCCCCCTGTAGGTATAATTTGTTATGGGAACATGGAGGACTTTGTGATCTGACAGATTTAGCATGCACCATTTTTATTCAGGGGGATTTTTCTGCTAGCTGGATTCAAATTCCCGTTCACAGGAGCGAGTGTCCTTCTCTACCAGCCAGTCTATCCCGGCCTTTTCTAAAGATATACACTACTAAAATGAAAGAAAGGAAACAACTGATAAAGGTCAAAAGTGTTAAGAGATTTAAAGTTATTATTTTTTTAATAGCGACTGGCACTAAACTTTGATTTTTCATCTTATAAGATTTTAGAACTGTTGCTCATTAATTGTTGCATAGGTGGGCATCTGTGAACCAAGCTCACAGTGGCGATCAACATTTCCCACCCCAAACTTCCACAGATAAGATGGGCCATATTCACATGCAACAGAGGACAACAGACAGAGAAACATCCTTTCCCTAAGTGGGATTCAAACCCTCAGACATTGACTTAGAAGTCAGGCACGCTAACCCCATGGCAGAATCACTGTGACATTGACGTAGAACGATATGGAGTTCTTGCAGAAAGATTTTTTAATTTGAGAAGTAAAAAATTTTAATATGCTTTTTTGCAGAAATTTTTGAAAAATTTTATCTTCTCTTCAAAACTATATTCAAAAGATGCCTTTCTCATGCATCTGAGTGTAAAAAAAAAATATATATATATATATATACTTTAGATTTTTCTATTCTCATTTCAGAATAATGAAAAATGAAATAAAGAAGTTAAAAATTTGGTTTTCTCTTCTAAAGAAAGTTTCGTTACATTTTTTTTGTTGCAGTTATTACTCTTAATTTCCACATAGCTTTTAAAATTCTATATTTTTAATTATTTTATACTATTTATTGTAACAACTGAATCTTGAAGTGAAACATTTAGTGAACCTTTTTTTAAGAATCCGATTTGTGTTATTTTATCTTCGATCCGTTTTTCAGTAGTTACTGCTACGGATTTCACGATTTGTTGAATTTTTTTAATTTGATAATGATTTACAAAATACGAAAAAATAAATAATTAGTGTGTTTTCCCCCTACAAAATGTGATAATATCGCCTATAATATTAGAATAAAAAAAATTTACGTGTTCAAATAAAAAACATTATTTTATCCAAAGAGTTCCTTTTTTTTTTTTTTTCTTTAAAGTTGATGCTTCGGTTACTTTAAATTAGTAACATCATAGCTGCCAACTCTACTGGATTTTCCTGTAAACTACTGGAATTTTCTAGTTTCTCCTGGTCTACTGGCTTAGTAAAAATTCTCCTGGTTTTTGTTCATTTTAGAAAATTTCCTAATAATATCCCTATTGAAATAGGGTTTTTGCGCAGATTATTGCTTGCTTGAAAATTAAAATAAGCATTATATATAATAAAGCTAGCCTCATTTATAAAAATTTGTTTAAAACTTTTTTTGTCCTAAAATGTTTATTTTTATTCGGAACTCCCTTTTTAAATAAATTTAAAATAATTTAATTATCTTTTAGGAATTAAATCCTTATTACTATTCAAAATTATCAGTAAACATAATACATAACATTTCAAGTATGTTTAATGTCAATCATAATTGGAAAATATTGAAATTTTTTTTATTTTGATGACTATAAAGATCCCTAAAATTCCCTATGCATAAAATATTCAATTCATTATGCAACAATTATCATGAAATTTATATTTATTTCGTAAAATCTGCTGGATTTTTTCTTATTCATGGTGGCAGCTATGTAACATGTATATTTGTTATTATTAAAGTATTTTGAAAATTAATATTATTAAAAGTATTTTGCAGAACGATATTATTAGTAATATAGAGGTATGTCACAGAAAGTCCAAAAAAATTCTGCCACAGGGCACGCTGACCGCTCGGCCACCTGGACGGCATATTTAAAATTGGAGAAAGCTGTTATTTATCCACACTTGGTGTTAAAACAAAAAAGGTATACTCGAAAATGGTTTCACAGAAGGGTCCTTCACTAAAGATGGGGGGTGCATAATCTTTTTGAGTGAAGGGCCACTTACACAGCGCAGGTTGACTAACGAAGGGTCGCACATATATTTAGTCATGTTGGTGGTAAATATGAGATTTTTTGTCTCAAAATTGGTGCTCTGAATAATAAATATTTTCATCAGTAAACTTAGTAACATAGTTTTGTAAAATTAAATACTTTAATTATTAAAATTCATTCAATGAAAAAAAACTAATATTTTTTATTTTTCTTGCCTTTTTATTAATATATATATATATATATTTTAATAACTATAATGCTCACAGAATAAATGTGTAAAAAAAACTGCATACATACTTATTTTAATGAGTAATATAAATTTGAACTAAATATTTTTCAAAAAATTTATAGCATTTAAGCAAAAATTAAAACTTTTACTGTTATAGTACATATTAAGATTCAATATTTTGTGAAGAGAAATTAAAAAGATTCTAAATTTTGACTTTTCAAAAACAAGAAAACTATTGTGTTCAGAAGCTGTCGCGGGTCGTGCACCCCTACTAAAGATGTCTTGTTTTGATTAAAAAATGTTATTCCCAAAGTCTAAATCTGCTGAAGAAAAACATTTTGTATTGATAACTATTTTAAAATATTATTTGNCGCGGGTCGCACGTGACCCTCGGGCGGCGGGTCGTGCACCCCTACTAAAGATGTCTTGTTTTGATTAAAAAATGTTATTCCCAAAGTCTAAATCTGCTGAAGAAAAACATTTTGTATTGATAACTATTTTAAAATATTATTTGTAAATTCTTTCATCACAAAGTTCTCCTTTATTGTTTTCAGTGATGATTGTTACACAGTTGTGGACTATTGCTTTCGTGAGAAAGTTCAAGCGACTGCAATCAATGCGAAAGATCTTCAGCAACCTTTGATTTCACCCAACATTTGCAGATATCTCATTTACCTGAAACTATTGAGCAATCATCAGAATCTACCAACTGACATGATTCTTAATTGTACACTATTGTAAGTCTTTTTCTGCTTCAATGAATTGAATTTTAAAGTTATTTTTTAGGCTCCACAGGGTACTTCGATTTTTTTTTCTTTACAAACCACTGTGGGCCAAAAGTCAAAAATTAAATTTTAATTAAAATAAGTGTAGGCAGCTTTAATATAGCCCATATTAAATATTCATAATCATTTCAAACATTATATTTTACTTTTTGGGCCGACAAGAGTACAATGTAATGAAAAATATGTTTAAAAAAATTTTTAAATGTAACTTTCAAATTTTTCATTCAGAAATAGATATAGAAATTTCACCTTACTGTTACATTTTTATCATAGTAATTAGTCTGAAATGATGGTACAATTTTTCAATGTGTTGGATTAGTTAATACTCTTGACAAACTTATAGTTTATATCTTATCATTTGACAATTTACAATGTTTGAATGACTTTCGAAAATTAGTTCCAAAAGTTCTGCGAGGTCATGAGCTAAACTTTTTTGTTGTTGTCTTCTTTGATGTTTCTTGTTTCGACCCCCCCCCCCCATTTTGCCTGTATTGCAAAGGTGGACTAACTATACCGAAAAACAAAAATTATGTTGTTGTTTTTTTCATGTTTTCACATTATTTTGTAATATTTCTTAGGAAATATAATTTGCTTTTCATTTTTAATGTAAAATTACAAAAATTATTATACAGTCGGACCTCTATTTAACGAAGTCGCTAAATCCCGGTAATAAGTTTGTTATATGGAAAAATTCGTTGAATAGAAAATCACCTTTTGAAATACTTAAACAACACGAAACAGGTTTGAAATTCATAAACACTAGATATAATTAAAATAGCAATTAATACACATTTATCTTGTAAACTAATATCTACTATTTATTTTATAAATCTTAACCATAAAAGAAATCTGCATGGAAAGCAAGAATAGAGCAAAACATTATCTAGTGTTACACTATCAAGCTACATACATTTTCAGCTGCATTTATTGTAAAAGTAATTTTAAGCATACATTACCACGTACGTTCATAGGTTTAATTGCTAAAATTCCGTTAATTATGTCTGAGTTTTTCGTTTGAAATGCAAACAAAAAGAGCAAGGGATTTTACTGCTTTCTCTAAAAGTTAAGGTGCTTCGAAAATCAATTCAAAGTCATTTCCCCCATAAAATTCAGTAAAAAGTTTGAAATGTTCTGAAAAATTTTGGAAATAGGGAAAATGGATATCAAAGAAAAGTTTGTTAAATAGAAAATTCACTTCACTATTTGGAAGTTATTTTACGAAGAAATTTTCAAAATGTTCTTAGTTCCTCGAAAAAATTCGCAAAATGGAAGTTCGTTAAATAGAAGTCCAACTGTATTTTCATTGCTATGTATAATTATTTAAATGTACTATATTATTTTTTTGTTTTAGCTAGCCGTATTTCAGCCGCCATTTTGTTTTTTGGGTATTTTTAGTGTATTTCAAAATTTTGACTATGAATTCACTTTACCTGCACATAAAAAAAACCCAAATTTTGAAACAAATTTTATCGAAAACTAATTTTGGCCACGAAACCTTGGATGCTGGCCCACTGTGCAAACTGGGAATTTTGTTTCTTATTTTCGTCTCTTAAAAAATGGTGGCCACTCAAAGTGTAATCTATGGGATATTTGACCATGATATTTCAGCTATACTAAACTATTTCATTTACTCTATAGCATTATTTAAGTATGTTCAACTGTTCCTTTTTTTTTCTCTAAATCTTTTCATCCATTAACACTAATAAATGTAGTTAGCCTAATATAGTATATATAGAAAAAGTAGTGTCCAGTTTGAAGAGATAGAAAATAACGTTTCAGGGCAGAAATGACTGACCACATTCGGTTACGGCAGTGTCTGGAGAATGTTCCAGGGCTGATTGTGCTCCGGAACAATTCGGATTTCCGGATTTTTCGCTAACAGTGATACAGAAGTTTCCGGAGATCGAAGGTCCAGACGTTTCAAAAAATCATTGATTACAGAAGTTTCTGGAAATAAAATTTTCAAAGGTGGAACTTAAAAACGCAGTTCATTTTATTTATTTGTAAGGGAGAGCCAGAGAGATACCTTATAAGCTTATATTCATGATTAATATTCATTTTTTATTAGTAAATAGTTGTTATAATCATAAACTCAAGAACGAAAGACATATTTATAAATTTTAATTACTTCTCCAGGTCATCATTGGTATGTGTCAGTGGTATAGGTATGTGTAAAATTTTAAATATGTTTTAAGTAAACTAGGAAATGTTGAGAATATGGGAAAAAAACTTGTTTAAATTTTTTTCTAATTTTTGAATTTAAACTGTTTTGTTTTTAAGCTCGAGAAATTTTCCGAAATTTTGACTTGGGCTCATAATCACCCCTGATGTATATATTGGTTTACTCGTAGGCGATTCACGAGGAATATAAAATATGTCCGTATAGAGAGGCATCCGTTTTGCAGGAGTGTGTATAACAGGAGGTTTTACTGTAAAAATATATATATTAGTATCAGATGTATATAATGCAATGTTCTATAAACCAAAATTTTTCATAAACTGTGTTAACGTTACAATATCTAAAGCAGACAAAAATTTATAAATTTTTTGAATTTTAGTTCTAATACTGCTGATATGTTAAATTTTTTTTTTTTTTTTTTGTAAATAATGTATTATAATATATTATGTATAAATTTTGTAAATAATGTGCATGTTATGAACTACATGAATTTAAATATTATTTTAATATTAATCTGTTTCAGATATAAATTGCCACATTTATGGGTAAGCTTAATAATATATGAAATGGTTATAAAGTTCTTCTGTATATACACAAGTGTGTGTGTGTAGACACACACTACCGTACGATAATTCAAGAGACATTCACAGTTTTTGACATTTTTTAAAAATTTTCTCAAGAAATACTTTGAGGATTAAAGTTTATAACTTTAGATGTGTTTTCAGGTTGGAGTTTTTGACAACCTAAATTGGTTTTGGATAGGACACTTGGGTTTTCTGTCTTAAACTGTTCTAAACTGACTAAAACTATCTTAAAGTGTCCAAAACCTTGAACTTTGGTTAAAGGTAAAAATTCTTATATGTGTAACCTTTGTACACCACATAATAGTTACATATGTTAATAAACATTTCATACTTTTTATACATCTTGCTTTAACTTATTAAAGGAAAATAATATAATAGAAAAATATTTATAACTTTTGAAGCTCCAGAATTCATTGAACAACGAAAGTGAATACCATTAAATATGAATGAATATGCTTTTAATACTGATAAATTATGTTTTTGCATAAGGATAAATAATGCAATATTAAAAATAATAATAAACATTTTTAATAAAACAAAAACTTGTCTTAATTTTGTTTCTTGTTCAAAAATTAACATTTCATTTTTCACAATATTTTTTTTTTAATTGTGACATAATTTGAGTAAATAGGTTTTGGGCATTTTTAGACAGTTTTGGACAAAGGAGCTTTACACAGGATGGTTTAAACTAGGGATTAATCCATTCTGTCCTAAATCTTGCCAACTCTAGGTCTTTTGGTCATGTGATTTCTCATACTTATAAGTAAAGTTGAAATCTTTCAGAGGTTTGAGGGACTAATTATGAACGATGATGTCATGTGACACAAAATGAAATTTGTAAAAAACTTCTTTTGACCTTTCTTTTAAAATTCACAAAAGCTGCTTAGAATATTACTTAATACATTTTAAATTATTCAACTTGAACTTTTTTCATTAGTTACAAAATACAAAATTTAATTTTATTGATTGTTTGTAAAGTAATAGAAAAAACAAACAAATGTAAAAAATATGTTTTTTATAAAAATGTTTGTATATATTTAAGCTAGGCTTATGAAATTTTATTCAATTGCATATAATGATTTAAGTAATTAATATAAGTTTATTGCTATATTTTCTGGCATAGGATGTTTAAAAGCAGTTTTTTCATTTGTAATTTATTGTCAGTCCCTCAAACTTTTGAAAAACTTATGCTCTATTGATAAGTATGAGAAATTGCATTATCTAAATGGTTCTAAAGTGATGAAATAATCGTCTTAGTGTTTTTTGAGAAATTTTAAAAAGGAATGTGGAAAACTGAATGAATGTCTCTTCAATCACTGTACAGTAGCGTGTGTGTGTGTATGTATATATATTTATATATATATACATATATATAATATATATATATACATATATATATATATATATACACAGGTATATATACACCATAATAAATAAATACAAAAAGAAAAAAAATGAAGAAAATTCAGAAAAATAATAAGTTTTATTTACTGCGCATAAGCTGCAAGTAAATAGAACTCATAAAATAAGTTCAAAATGTAGAGAAAGCGTGGAAAAAATTACAGATCAATGAAGAAAAATAGAAGAAGGGAAAAAGAATAATAATAAAAATCCAGAAAAATAAAATCTGAAAAAAAGGGGAATAAAAGTTCGGAAAATGAAAGATATAATCTTTTCATCAGCTCACACGATTATATTCGTAAAAAGGAGTGCTTTCTAATATTGTATCAATATAGCCAAAGCAAAAATAATATCAATACAATAGTGTGAGGAGCACTCAAAACAAAAAATTCTTTTACAACGAATTAAATAGAATGCAAACAAATGAAATACACAACAAATAAAATAGAATCCTACTTCAGTACTGGACTTTTATTATTATTATTTTTCTTTTTCCCTTTTTTCATTCTTGTGTAATTTTTTCCATGTTTTCTCTACATTTTGAACTTATATATCTTGTGTGTGTGTCATAACAGTGTGGCCAAATAAGGAAATAATGCTGAAGCAACATAGTGAGGAGTTCAAACCACTCTTAATGTGTTTCATCTTAAGTGAAAGGGGGAAATCTTAGAAGCCATGTGATTTACATGGGATAATATAACAATGATCATAGATTAGAGTATTATTTCTCTCAGGATTTAATAGTTCTTTAAAGGGAAAAACATATTATGATAATTATTACATTCTGATGATGAACTAAGTTAAAATATTAATTCTATTTTCGCATAGGTATCTCATGCTAGATGATGATCATCATCTAGAATAGAGAATTTGAAAACGAAAGAAAAAATTTTTGCTTTAAGGCTCACTTTTTTTCATGCCAGATCTGCTAGCTAGAGCTATAGATATAACAGTTATAAATATTTTATGAATTCACAACAATTATAAATAGCACCTTCTAATAGTATTGTTAGAAGGTGTTTTGTATATTGAGTGAGCCTTTGGAAAACAGTGTTTATTAATTTTTTATTAACTTTCACCTCTCTTTTTTTTTAATTTAAAAAACTGAAAAAACTTTTGTGTTTAAGACTAAGATGTTAATAAATGTAAAAAATTACATTTTATGTCTACTATGTCATTTGATGAATTTTATTGTATACTTTTTAGGAGTGAAAGAACACGATGGATTGAAGCAATAAATTCTGCGGGTCAGAACAAACCTTGTGAAATCTGGGAATATGGTGAATAGATATTTAACTTAATTTATATCAATTTATATACTGACTTTTTTCTACACAGATTTGTTAGAGAAAAATGCTACTCCGGATAAACTTTGGGGGGGGAGGGAAATCTGTAGTAATTAGAATGAATGAACGACTGAGACAAAAACAAGAGTATTAAATTGCATATGTTAAAAGTAATCCCGATATGGCAAACATTTAAAAGATTTTCGATAGAAAAAAAATGGAGTTTTTTTTTTTAATTTTTGTTAAAACTTTTATTTTAACGAGTAGCAATTTTGTTGAAAATTCCAATTCGTAACAGAAGAATTATTTTATCAATGTGATATATTTACCACCTTTTTTATTTGGCTACAATACTACTTAATTTTTAATGGAATGACATGTAATTCTCGAATGGCGTGTTTCAGAAATCACTTTTCAACGGACGTGATACCATCGTAAATTCGAATTTTAATCTTATTATTGAATAAAACGAAACTTCTTTCTCTCTCTTTAAATTTTTTAAATATTACTTTTGTTCATTAAAGTAAGTCTTTTAAAAATCTTCTATGTACATGTGCACAAGATGAAAAAAAAATTTTAAAAAAAAAGGAAAAGCAAATTATGCAATGAGAAAAAAATTTCAGATAATTTCCTCTTCCAGCAATCATATATCTGTATAATATATATTTATGTTTTAAACTTGGATAATAAGTGTTTTTCATTAAAAACACCTCTCATAACATACAAAGCTACCTTTAACAGTAGATAAATAACACCTAAGGCAGGGGTGACGAACCTTTATACACCAACGTGCCATTTTTTCTAAAAAATTGTTTGATGAGGTCATAGACGTGCCTTCAAATAATTTTGACTTCGTGATTATTGGGAAAATAATAATACTAAATACTATCAACTCAAAACTCTTTATTTACATAAAAAAAAAACATTTTGCAATGTCTCAGTTATACGCGTAATTCAACTTACAGTAACATCAGTGTGACTTCTGTTGTTGCAGATAAGATGACAAATAACTTATATTAGGTTGTAAGATGTTAGTTTAAGCAGGACTGTTAATTTTTTTGCCAGTTAATTTATTGTTAGCTTGCTTTCCATGGTTATTAATTGGTTTTTTTAGCATTAATTGTTAATTTTTTATTAATAATTGTTTATTATTTTGCGTGTTTTTTGTGAATTTTAATTTAATTGTTACATATGCTTCATAGTGTAATACCATTTGTGTAATAACAAATGTGATCGGTTGCGTGCCCGAAATATTGTGTCGGGTGCCATAAATGGCACGCGTGCCATTGGTTCGCCACCCCTGACCTAAGGGATGCTTTCTCTCTAATTTTTGCCTTTTCTTCCTATTTTGTATGGTTTTTATTTAACTATTGCATCATATAAAAAAAGATTATTATCATGTAAGCAAAATCTGGAATTTGCATTCATAGTGGTATTTCAGTACAGCGTGAAAAAAGTTATGGTATTTTTATTCTTCTCTCTTGTGAGGAGGTTACTATCACCAAATATTCACGCATTCATTTTGCGTAAAATTCTCGCATTTTGATTAGAACAGGGTTGACAGGAAAACATTGAAAATACAGGGAATTTAAAAATCATCTAAAATGCCAGAGAATTCGTGATTTTTCCTTAAAATTTGGGAAAAAAACAGGGAATTTTTGTCTTTTAAATAGCAATCTATGGGGTATGTGATAGCTCAGCTATATTAAATTACATTTAATTATTATCTAAAGCGCATCATTTGAAATTCGAGATGCATCGTATTGAAACATTGATATTTTAAAAGCTATGTGAAAAACTTCCGCAATAACAGTCAAAAACACTTTTGTCATAAGAAATGAGTAAAGAAATTCATGAAATTGATATAGCATGCATTAATTTTATTAATATTGCACTTGAGGGAGTTATTTGTGATACAAGCATCAATACCAGTGGTCACATTTTACAACTACTTGCATATGCTGATGGTGTCGATATAATTGCTCGTTCCCTTCCTGCCCTGAAAGAGGCATTTCTTGCCCTTGAGGTGGCTGCAAGGCAAATGGGCTTGGTCATAAATGTAGAGAAAAGAAAATACATGTTTTTCTCAAGAAACAGAGTCCCAGACCCTTATCTTGAAATAAATTCTTATAGATTTGAAACAGTAAAGAGTTTTACTTACTTAGGATCAATTATTACCATTGACAACAGAATTACTCCTGTAATAAAAACCGACTCTATCTGGCAAATAGGACTGTCGATGGGCTGAGGAGATTCATTAAATCTGGGTTTCTTTCTGGAGAAACAAAGTTCTTAATCTACAAAACTCTTGTCCGGCCAGTCTTGACATACGCTTCTGAAGCTTGGACAGTGACAAAACAGGAGGAAACAGGTATCGCAACGTTTGAGAGAAAGATTTCACGGAGTATACTTGGTGGTGTAAATGAAAACAATAACTGGAGAAGGAGATTTAACTTTGAACTGTGCAAGATTTATAAACAACCTGATATTATCAAATACATAAAAATAAATAGAATGAATTGGATTGCCCACGTGATTCGAATGAGTGATGACAATACAATAAAAAAGATACTGCTTTTTAGACCCACTGGAACAAGAAAGCGGGGAAGGCCGCAAATGAGATAGGCTGACTTAGTGGAGTCTGATTTTCTCTCAATTAATGAAAAGAATTGGAGATCAAAGGTGAATCAGAAGTCCTCATGAAGAAATCTTCAGAGGAAGGCATTGGCTCACATTGGGCTGTCTGGCCAACTATAATGATGATGATGATGCATTATTTTAAGTATTACTAGTATGTTTAAGTAAAATTTCACAAACTGAAATAAAATTTAATGATTAAATTTGCTTTAAAATATTCAAAAAAAGGTCATAATAAATTAATTTTTGTTTCCTGCATTGTAGATTCTCAACAAGATGTAGCATAAAAATCAAAATTTCTAATTCCAATATTTTTTAAGCTTTTTGTAATTGTGTGGTCTTATACCTGCAAACGAAAGGTTATTTGAACTAAAAAATGCGAGAGAATGCATGTTGTTCAGGTAAGCATGTTTAAATGCCTTTCATAATGGTAGAAATATTAAACAATGTCGACTGCACACTTGAAGCTATTAATCAGAAAGTGGGTACATTTTCAAGTCAAGTTATGAAATTCCTGCTCTTGTGGTGAAACTTGAGAATACCATGTTGGCCAAGGCAACACATTACTGATCTGTGGAGAGAAGAGTTATTGACTATGTCAACCTTCATCTTTGAAAAGGTACCCCAACATAGAATCTCGATAACGTGTCTTATATACTAATAAGTTGGAATTGTAGTGGTAGATACACTACAATACTCCCCTACCAGAATTTTATCTGTGATAGAATTCGAGGAACGGATACCACTAGTTGATTGATTGCTGTCTTGTGAGAAGCAGAGAGAGCTGTATTATGATCATCGTGCTTTTTGCGTGCTGTGTGAAGTTCACGGTCGTTATCGCTTCTGTGCTGCCTTTAGCAGTCCAGTGAATACTTTGTACCTTGTGTGTGATGGTGACTGAGTAGCAACAGCGCGAGGAGGTGGATAATGTCGCAGCTATAAGTAGCATGTCAACTGATCAATGGGGACCATCCATCAAAGTAGGCGTGTTCATATCGAAGTGGGAGTTTCTGTCAAGGTAGGTATGTTCACGCCACGTCCAAAGGTCATCAATGTGGGAAGTGGTGTTGTCGACCTTCTTCTAGGAAAAGATACCTCACCATAGAACCGAGTTAACATATCTTATATATTAGAGAATTGGAATTGTATTTTTGTAGTGGTAGACACGCACACACAGTACAGAACTATCTTGTCGATACCGGTCGTCCATAAATTGTAAACAGACAAATCTGCGAGCTTGGATGTGGTTGACAAAGTTTAAAATTTGTTGCCTTTTATTTCCAACAGGACATTTGTCACTTTCAACAGCTTTTATTTAACAGTTGTCAAGCTGATCAATTGCTTTTAATTGTTTTTGTTAAGGAAATCAAGCAAAGTAGCTAAGCTAATGCGTTCTCTAGTCGAAGGATGTAACTACTTATGCTTGAACCACATGTCTGGAGATACTCAGGATATATGAGTTTATTTGTATCTCGACCCACACTATTTAAGGCCATACAAGAGTAGATACATACATAAAACATGCATTATACATACATAAAACTCGAAAAATTACATCAACAACAAGTATAATAATCAGAATATCTAAAATACTAGTCAATACAAATCTATTAAGACAAATGTAAACCCATTAAAATAGTAAAGTAGTAAAAGGGTTAAAGAACAAAATGACCCAAAAATCCAATAAATGTTAAAACTTTGCAAAAGCATGTAAAGCAGTTATAAAATATTCGAAGTTAAAACTTGTTATAAAAGTTAAAAAGCAGAACAAGTTAAGAATCAAAACAATCAGTTAAAAATTGATAAAAACAATACAAGTTAAATCCTAGAGAAATTTAAAATAATGGTAGATAAGAAAAAGGCTCCGAGCTGAGTTAAATGTTGTTCAGAATGTCCTCCAATGTTGATACTCAGGATGTATGCTCAAACCCCATGGTAGATATTGTCGCAGAACGTTAACGAATTCTTGCAGAAAGATTTTTCTTTTGGGAATTAAAAAATTTTGGGGGTTTTTTTTCGGCAGAGATTTTCGAAAGTTTTATATTTTCTTCAGAATTATATTCAAAAGATGCCTTTCTTGCGCATCGGAGTGGAAAAAAATGCTCTTGATTTTTCTATTCTTATTTGAGAATAATGAAGGGTAAAAAATGTAGTTTTCTTTTCTGCAGAAATTTTTGTTCTAATTTTTTTATGCAGTCATTATTATGGTTTTCCACATAGTTTTTGAAATACGGTATTATTTATTACAACAACTATTTAGTAACCCTTTTCATCATCCAATTCACGTGATTTTGTTGTCGATTTTTTTAGGTAGTTAGGGCTGTGGATTTCATGATGTTTTAATTATTTTTTTTTAATGTAATGATGATTTGCAAAATGTGAAAGAGGAAATAATTAATTTGTTATCGCCCATGATATTAGAATTAAAAAAAAAACATTTCATATTTAATTAGAAAATTATTTTATTTAATCCGAAAAGTATTTTATTTTTGAAGTTGATGTTTCAGTTACTTTACTCTAGTAATTCTGTTACTTTAATTGTTATTTTTAAATGTATCTTGTTACTACTATTAGAGAGATGTAAGAGGGTGCTCAAATAGGCTGTTAAATCTAATAAATGTTGATATTTCAGATTGTCCTCAAGTGCAATGCTTCAAGAACTACATTGCTCAACAGCCTGATGAGCTATCACTACAGGAGTCTGATGTTGTGACTGTTCACAGGAAAATGAATGATGGTAACTCCATTTTTCTGTTTACCACAAATTAATAACTTTTGATCTTTTATCATATTTTAAGATCCAATATGAATGCAGGGTGTGTAGCATTTCTAAAAAGTGCTTGCAGGGCTGCCATTTGAGACTAAAAAGGCGACTAAAACGGCTATTTTAAAGCAATAGCAACTATGGCGACTATTTTAGTAGAAATATGAGTAAAAACAACTAATTTGCAATGATTTGCTTGAAATCGGCGACTTTTTTAAGCCAAAGCGACTAAAATGAAGAATAGCTTCATGAGTTCCCCCACTTCTTTTTGCCGCGCTTTCGTTTTATCCTAACTTTATTATTTCTCACTGTTTGATGTCAAAAGCATGACAGACATATTTAACCAATCAGACTGATGGAATTGGAATTCGCACTACGTGAATGCTCCNTTTCATATTATTGTTGAAAATTATTTAAGTACTTTTAGAATGCTGATTTTGTTTATTACATACTAAATTTTTATTTTATAGTAAGGTTAAAAAAATTCATATATGAAAGTAAAGGTCATTTCTACTTCATTTTTTATAATGCCTAAACTTTTAGTCTCTAGCTTTTTTTTCAATATTTTTTTTAATTACAACTATTGTTTCTTATATGATATCTGAAGCCTTATGCCTCATAAAGAATAAAACTAAAAATAGATATTTTTAAAATGTTCAAAAGGTTTTCTACAGCAATTCCTTCAGCATTCCTCTATCTATATATTGTTGGTAAATTCACAAATAAATGTACTTTTTTTATGAAATATGAGTATCTAACTGCATATTATTTGAATTTTATACTTTTATAGCACAAATAATTAAAGTTATGTTAGAGGAGGATATGATGTTGGCACCTATTTTATATATCTTAGAGACTATTTAGGAGACTTTTTTTCATGAATGATGCAACTAAAGCAACTATTTTTCTTGTTTTCATCCAGTGGCAGCTGTGTGCTTGAAGGTGCTTGTTTTTAAAAGATACTTTTTTTATTGGGTTTTTTAAAAATGCTTAATTTTTATTAATAATGGCAATTTTCGCCACGAACTATGCAATGAGTGTGGTTTTCACATTGTTCTATTCAACCAGGGTGCGTAGTGTTTTTAAAAAGTGCTTGAAGGTGCTTATTATTTTTTTTAAGCCCTTAAAGGTGCTTTTATCATTGGGTGTTTCTAAAAAGTGCTTAATTTTCCCTATTCCAAAATAAGATTTTTCCTTTACCCTGTTGATTTTAGCTACGAATCATGCAGAAAGACATTGTTTTATTCAGCGTTTTCACAATTAATTCAATCCGAATCTATTTAAACGTATCGTCAGTCCGTAGCGTATGAAAACGCCATTCGATTTACAAATGATTCAAAAATTTTGACAATGCCAAAAGGACATTTAAAACCAGATAAAACCGTCAATTGTCAAAAACTTTCTAATCCTACCTAATTATGATTTTTTTACAGTGCTTAAAAATATTATTTGAGTGCTTGAAAAGTGCTTATTTTTTGTTGAATAATTTGGCTATGCACCCTGTTCAACGTATTCGCAACTCATTCCACTACAATCCATTACGGCCTACCACCGGTCCGTAGCGTATGAAACCGGCAATTATTTTGCATGCTTGATGAAACGCTTCTGGGTCCTCGTCTGCGTATGCTGAACTGGATTCCGTGGGAAGAATTCTTGCACTCTCATGTGCAACAATGTTGCAATTTGTAAGAGATTATCAATTTCAGGCTTCATTTTCCGCCCTCTGAAATTGAACCCTAAAATGTATTGAAAAATCTCATGGGTATCAACTGAACATTGTCGATTCTTTTTTTCCCTAATAGAAAAAGAAAATTTTATTTTTCTTGTTAATTTCATTCTTGGTGAAGCACCATCGTCTTTGTCACTGGCAAACTAATGGTCTTCTCGTGTTCTTGAATTTATAGATAAGTACCTGTAATCTTCAAAGGGGATCGTTCACAATTTTTAATCACAAGATTATTTTCTTCAGGGACCATCCGCTAATTGCATAAATCAAAGTGCGTAGTGTTTTTAGAAAGTGCTCAAAAGTGCTTATTTTTTATTTAAGTTTTTTAAAAGCCCTTAAAGGTGCTTTTTTATTCAGGGTTTGTAAAAAGTGTTGAATTTTTTATCTTTTGAAAAGAGATTTTTCTTTGCCGTATCAATTGTCATTCTAAATTACAAAAAAAATGCTTGATTTTCTCCATTTTCTCTGCAACATTTATCAGAAACTAGTTATTTTATCATGATCATCATTTTTCTTAAAATGTTTCTAAATATTATTTATTATATATTTATAAATTAAGAACTTTAAATGATAGAAAAAAATTTTATTAGTGCACAGATTCTCATAATAATTTTTTTATTTTTTGGAAAATGATTAAAAAAAAATTTTGAGTGCTTAAAATGTACTTAAAAGGCGCTTATTTTTTGTTGAAAAATCTGGCTACACACCCTGCCGAATTGTTTCAAACTTTTATTGTTATCCAATATTCATTTTTATTATTGTATTATTACTTTTTAAATTTCCAATGCTCTTAATTTGTTTTATGAAAAAACAAAATAATATTTAGAGGCATTAGGGAATTTTTTAAAAAAAGTATGAAATTTTCACTATTTAAAATGTAGTAAAGAAAAAAACTTAGGTTGTTCAGGATTTGTCATTCCAGAAAACTTTTAACTTATCTCTTAATAATATGATTTAAAAACAATTGAAATAAGAAATTCTATTATTTCAGGTTTGTTAAATATTATGACTGTAGATCCATATAATAATTTACTTCTGTCAATAATGTTTAGCTTCAATATTCATTGTATTTACATTTTGAAATTATTATTTTTTAATCATTTCTTTAAAGAAATACTGAATCAAGTAAAAAAATTTTAATGATAATTTATTAGGGGCTATTCACTAATTTATATTTGTTGTACAGGGTTCCCTTGGTCCTTAAAAGTCCTTAAAAACTGCTTAATTTTCATTTTGGAAAATAAAGGGCTTCAAAAGTACTTAATTTTGATTCAAAGTTTTGAAAAGTCCTTAATTTTTTAGCATGACTAAGGCTGATAGGAAAAAATTTCAGTTCAATTTTTTAAAACTAAATGTTGCTCTTTTATCACATAGAATTAGACCATGCACAGTCATAGCTGCCAACTCTACTGGATTTTCCAGTAGACTATTGGATTTTTCCAGTTTCTCCTGGTCTACTGATTTAAAAAAAAAATATCCTGTTTTTTGTACGTTTTAGAAAATTCCCTAAAATTGTGAGTAAGTTTCCTAAAAAAATTCCAATTGAAATAGAATTTTTGGACAGATTATTATTGCTTGCTTAAATACTTAAATAAGTAATAAGAATACTTGATAATACTTAATAAAAAAAAACTTGAATAATGAAATAAGTAAATAAATAAGTATTAGTACTTAAATACTTATACATAGTACTTAAATACTTATTCATGAAGCAAGCCTCATTTATAAAAATCAGTTTAGAACCTTTCATTTTGTTCTAAAAATGTTCAGTTTATTTTTATTCCGAACCTTTTAAATTGATTAAGAAATCTTTTAACTGTCTTTGATGAATTCAATGCTGATTACTATTTAAAATTATGAGTAAACATAATGCATAACATTTCAAGTTCATTTATAGTCAATCATAACAGGAAAATTTTGCAGTCTTTCTATTTTGATGATTATAAAAATCCCTATAATTCCCTATGCATAGAATATTTGGTACATTATGAAACAATTATCATGAAATGTATATTATTTTGCAAAATCTTCTGTTTTTTTTTTCTTATCTACGTTGGCAGCTATGCATAGTCAATATTCTGTTGAAGTCTATGTTCTACATGGCCCTATATCTCCCTTTAAAATAGACCCATAACATTCAAACTGTACCACATATTATATTACAGAGCAATAGTGTACCTTACCAGAGGAAATAATTATAGGCCTATTTGAGGCCCCCCAATGTGGCCCTTTAGGTTACTATATTGAGGGTAAAACATTTTAGAGAGGCAAAAATTTATGTGTGTGGGGGGTTGCTATAGGTAAGGGGGAAAAAGCATGTCCTCTCATTAATCGGGAGTCTGTCCAGACATTTTGTTAAAAGTCCGTTTTTGTAAAATTGTAAAAATGACTCATAATTTGTGAATATAAAATAAGCGTTAAGTCACAATCTTTTAATTGCCAGGGTCCTGCTTTTGTGAATTTGTGCAAATAGGGTCCAGTTATTGCAAAAAAAAACTTTTTCAAGGAGTTTTTAAATTGTAAAGACATACAAGATTATGTCAACAATGTAATGTGTGGACAAAGGGGATACTACACATGAAAGAGATAATGCTTTTTTTGCATTGGGGAGGGGGACTGTTTTAAGATACTTAATTGGAAGACCCACCCTAACCTTCAAAATTGACAGAATTCAAGGAATTCAGTCTTACTGGTAATCCATCTGCTTATAGGAATTAAGTAAAATGCTAAAAAAAGAAGTATTAGAAAATGTTTTGAACTAGAATCCATAAAACGAAATCTATTTCCTAAAGGACTTGAAGAATTAAATAAATTTGTGTAATACTTCAATGTGTAATAAGTAACTGTAAATTGACAGAAGGCATAAAATTTAATACAATTCATGACTGTACTAAAATTTAACCACATTTGTAGAAAACAGGGTTTATCCCAGCCCCCCTCTCAAGTTTTTTTTTTTTTTCACAAATACTTTAAACTTTTTTCCCTGAGTAACTGAATAAGAAAGCATGATTTGCTTCTGACACGAAAGTTAAATATTTGGTAACTATTTCTAATTTGTTTTGTTGTAATGTAAATGTTTTTTTTTTCTTTTTTGAAGTTTTAGATTGTTACACTATTATTTTTATTTCTTACGGATAAGCAAATTGTTACATAAAAATTTATATCTACTCAACTAAGAGATCTTTAGATTTTAATAATCATTTTATTCAGTTAACATTGCAACTTAATACACTTTTTAATTTTTGTTCAATTTTTGGTTGCTTTGAAACTAGTTTAGGTTTTTCTCCAGAATGTTTAGTTACATCATGTAAAGTTAAATCCTAATAACAGGTTTGGCTGGAGATAATTTTGTTTAAGTTCACCATAAAAATAAGTGTAACACATTTGCTGGTCTAATAGCGCAATATAAAAACTTGTAGAAATAATTCTTTCAATATTTTTGCCAAGTTTCTCCATTTACTCTTTTTTTAATGTATGAAAAAAATTGCCAATCTTAATTTCTGCTCTTAATTTAACAATTCAATTTCAATGAGATCATTGAAAATGGAATACTGTTTAGTTTCATACGTTAACTTTTACAATATTAACTTTTAACTATCTGAAAATGTTATCTGAAATGTTAACTTTTAACTATCTGAAAATGTTTTTTTAAAAAAACTGACCCGGTTTTGCAAAAATTGCCTGGTAATTCTTTGGTGAGTCCTGTTAATTATAATAAAATTGTTTTTTATTATTTTTATTATTTATTGATTTTTTAGGAAGATAAATATGTATAATTGGCATATGTATAATTGGTGGCATATGTATAATTGATGATAAACAATCATACTATTTTTTAAAGTCCTTAATTTTTCAAAGAAGTACTTTATTTTTGCTTTGTTGAAAGAGTGGGAGCCCTGTAATATGAATTTATTAAAGTTTTCTTTATCTTCTTAGTTTTTTACATATTATTATAACTTTAGTATGGTTATTAATATTAATCTTGTTAATGTTTTGTTGAATATGCTTTAGTAAAAAACTTTTATTTAAATCTAAAAAATAGACTGAGTAATTCTTTTACATAACTAAATAAAGTATTTACAGGATATCCGCGCACCTGGAAAGTCATGAATTTCGGTATTGAACAAAATTTGTCATGAAATGTCATGATTTTAACTATTTTTCTGAAAGAAAAAAAATCATGAAAAGTCATAGATTTAGGTTGCCAAAAAATCTAGTTTTTGAAATGGAATTCGCCCCCTTCACCAATTTCATGGTGCTCAGAATATCTAAATTTGTAACAAAATCCCCACTCACAGTCATATTTGATAAAAATATAAAATGTTTTTATAGTGTTTTTTAAAAATTATGGTGTTTTTTCCAAAAATGAAAGAAAAAACATCATTTCTAGAGCGAATATCTTTTAAACTTCTGTGATTTCAGCCTTTTTGTTATTATTTTATATTTTATCAATTTAAAATTTTAGCTGAAGCAAGCCAGTCATTGGCGAGTTTTTTTATTCCGAAATGAGAACAGAAAAATCAAGAGTATTTCTTTCCTTTCCGATGAACAAGAAAAGTATCTTTAGAATGTAATTCTGCAGGGGAAAAAAAAGAAAAACAAATTATTTGCTTTTTTTTTCCAGCTATTTTATTGCTTTGACTCTATCTTTGCTCTGTTTTTTTGAATTTAAAATCTATAAATATGAAGATGCAAAGTATAACTGGTTTGGTTGTACCTATCATTTGTGAATGTTATAATGCCTTTTTTAAATTTAGTGTTGTGTTTTTGTCGGAGAAAATAGAAACTTCATTAAGTCATGAAAAATTCATGGAATTAATCATGCAGGGTTCCCACGGTCCTTAAAAGTCCTTAAAAACTGCTTAATTTTTATTTTGGAAAATAAGGGCCCTTAAAAGTAATTAATTTTGATACAAGGTTTTTAAAAGACCTTAATTTTTCTGCATCGGTATAGTTCACAAGAACAATTTTTAAGTTAAATTTTTTAAAACAAAAAAATCTTTCTTTTTTCACCTAGATATAATAAAAAACATTTGGTTTGAAATTTATAAATCTTCTCAAACATAATTTTATTTTTATTCTATAGAAATTTTTATAAAAATATTTATTGCAATGAATTTAAAAAAATATATTAAGTTAAGCTTGAGAAGAAAAAAAAGTGGAATGAATTAAGGTGCTTTGGCCTGTTTTACGTGAAATAGAACTTAATTTGACATGACATAGTTAAGAAACTATTCTCATGACTAACTCTAATTCGACTTTTTAGTATTCTTTCCTTTAATATGTACCCTTATAAATGAAACATTTTAATTATAGAAAAGAATTTTTTTTGCGTAATTGAATATTTAGCAAGATTGGCCCAAAACTGAATATTTGATGCATGTCTAGTAGCGAAATATAAAAACTTGTAATAATTATTTCACTGTTTTTCCCAAATTTGTATATTTACTTTTTTTTGGGAAAAAAATTGTGATTCTTAATTTCTGCTCTTAATTTTACAATGCAATTTTAATGAAATCATTAAAAATGGAATACAGATTAGTTTCATACGGGTCGTTAACCCTTAACATTCTGAAAATATTTTTAAAAAAAAGAAAAAGAAAGTCCTGTTAATTAATACAATTATATCAGTACTTACATTTTAATAAAATTGTCTTTTATTATTTTTTTTATTCATGGACTTTTTTTTAAAGAAAGGCAAATAATTGGCACTGGTGGTATATGGATATTCGATGATAAACAATCATACTATTTTTAAGGTCCTTAATTTTTCAAAAAAGCCCTTAATTTTTTCAACAAAAAAAAGTGCTTAGTTTTTGCTTTGTTGAAAGAGTGGGAACCCTGTCATGAAAAGTCAAGAATTTGAAAATCTAAAATGTAGCAGATACCCTGTTAATGTTATTTTATAAAGTGTATGCTGTATCTTAAAAAGGCCATGCATTTTGAGATTGAAAAAAAAGTTCTTTATTACAAAATTCAGAATTAATTAAGACATGTGATATTGTTGCAGGATGGTACGAGGGACGCAGACTTAGAGATGGTCTTCAGGGTTGGTTTCCTGCTTCCCACACAATGGACATTCCTTGTTCTCGTGCAAGAGCTTCCAATTTACGGCAATGTTATCGTCTACTTATGCTTTCTCACCATAAATCATAATAAAGGTGCAATGAACTCTCCCAATTATCTGTATTACAAATATCTAATCACAAATATCTAATCAGAAAACAAATTTAAACTCAAACCTGAATACAATTTTAATTACTACCAGTATTTAAACCAGAAAAAATACTGTATGATGATGTTTTGACCAAAATGCTGGTCAATATCAACGTTTCAATTTTATGATTTGTCATCAGGAAATATGGATGTTTTGCAATATTTTTTCAATTTATATACCCTCCAACAGTCTGTGCTTTCATACGAAATATCTGTGGTAACGAACGAAAGTCGAACTTATTAAAACTTATAAGCTCAACCAATTCTCTATCTGACCTTCCATTTCTCCATTTGACCTTCCTGTTTAAATTATTTAATGGTAGTGGCAGGGTTGCCACAGGTGACTAAAATTCAACTATTTTCAGCATGAGGCGACTATGGTAACTTTTTTTTTGCCTGAAATGTCTTAAAAAAGCAGCTATTTTCAGGAAAAGGAGACTTTTCTGTATTCCTAGCAATGATTTTTGGCATAAATTGGGTTGAAAATCTTCTGAACACACTGAATTTCTTTTCTTAAAAAATTTAAAATAAAAATAATAAAATTTTAAAAAAATTAAATAAATAAATAATTAAAACAATAATGAAAAATTTTAGATTGCGAATTTGAATCATCACTTTTTAATGCATTCAATTTTCTCAGATTCTATCGTAAGCCTATTTTGTTTCTCGGTCGCCTTTTCAGCGGTTTTTGCTACGAAATTCTGCACAATTTTAAAAATCCAATTTTTAATACAATATTATGATGCATGAATTTTGAATTTGAGTAATGACATTTCACAATTTATATATATATATTTTTTTTTAAAAAATTACGCCCGCCATCGTCTTCTCAGACATAAGGCGTCTTGCAGCATATATATATATATATATATACATATTTGCTAAATCAATTATTGATAAAAGGGAAAATTTCTTAGAATAAGTTTGTATTTTTTAATGAAAAAGTATTTTTTGAATGAATTCTACTAATTAAAAGTATTCAATTTTCTGCAAATATACAAATTTTTTTATATATAAAAATTTAGTGCTAGAACACTAACATTTATATAAAAATTATCATATTTGCCACCAACTTGACTCATGGTATATGACAATTAAGTCATTTAATAAAATTTTAGTCTTATTTTTGTTCTTATTTAGGCAACTATTTTGTTCATTTTTTTTTCCTGTGACAACCCTGTAGTGAAGGACAAAATTTGTTTAATTCTGATTTGTTAAAATATGAATGAACAACTGACTTTTTACCGCTAGAAAATTTATTTCTGCAACTAAGTAAATTCCGTAGCACGTTTGCCACTCCGCAGAGAGAACCTGGGTAATACAGAGAATTTTAAAAATCACCTGAAATAACAGGAAAATTTGATTTTTTCCCCCTTTATGATCTGGGAATTTTGTTTCTTATTTTCGTCTTTTAAAAAATGATGATCACTCAAAGTGGGATAAAGCGATATCTATGGGATATTTCAGCTATACTAAGCTATTGCATTTACTTATAGCATTGTTTAAGTATGTTCAGCTGTTCCTTTTTCATAGCTGCCAACTCTACTGGATTTTCCAGTAGACTACTGGGTTTTTCCAGTTTCTCCTGGTCTACTGGTTTTATAAAAATTCTCCTGGTTTTTGTACATTTTAGAAAACTCCCTAAAATTGAGTCAGTTTCATAAAAATCCCTATTGAAATAGAATTTTTTTTATAGATTATTGCTTGAATATTTAAATAAGCATTACTAATATATGATAAGGAAATCCTCATTTATAAAAATCAGTTTGAAACTTTTTTTGTTCTAAAATGTTCGGTTTATTTTTATTCAGAACTCCCTTTATTACATGTATTAAAACATCTTAATTATTTCGTATGAATTATATGCTTATTCAAAATTACAAGTAAACATAATTCACAACATTTCAAGCATATTTAACGCCAATTATGACTGGAAAAATTGCAGTTTTTCTATTTTGATGTCTATAAAAATCTCTAAAATTCCATGTGTTTAAAATATTTAGCACATTTTGCTACAGTTATCATGAAATTCATATTATTTTGTAAAATCTACTGGATTTTTGTCTGTCTATGTTGGCAGCTATGCTTTTTTTTTCTCTAAGTTTTTCCAGCAATTAAAACTAATAAACATAGTTAGCCTTCTAAGGCTCATACAAGATACACAAGATTGTGTACAATATGTATCATGAAATTTTTTTTTTCTCCTGATTTGAGTGGCAACCCTGCATAGTAACTATTTACCGTCAATCGGCATAATATCAAGATTGATAATACACTGAGTTAGTGTCGTATTTCATACATATCATTGCTGATAATGTTCAGTATAATATCAAATGGAAAAGTTGTCACTATTAATAATACTCGCTAAATTATCGTATTCGATATTTAACATTGTCAATAATGATTGCTGTTTTATCATTGATAGTTATTATGTAATTAATAATCTGCAAGGTATTCATGATGTATTGTAATAAAAAAATTTAAAATATTAGCATTGCATAGCTGCCAACTCAACTGGATTTTCCAGTAGACTACTGAATTTTGCCAGTTTCTCTGGTTTAATTAAAATTTTCCTGGTTTTTGTATATTTTAGAAAATTCTCTAAAATTGAGTAAGTTTCATATAAAAAAAATCCCTATTGAAATAAAATTTTTGTACAGATTATTGTTTGCTAGAATATTTAAATAATGAAGTGAACCTCATTTATAAAAATCAGTCCAAAACCTTTTTTTTTTTTTTTTTTTTTTTTTTATTTNCTAAAATGTTCAATTTATTTTTATTCAGAACTCTCTTTTTAAATTAATTAAAAACATCTTTTAACCATCTTTGAGGAATTAAATGCCAATAACCTAAATTATGAGTAAACATAATACATAACATTTCAATTATGTTTAATGTCAATCATAACTGGAAAATAGTGCAGTTTTTTTCTAATTTGATGACTATAAAATTCCCTATGTGTGAAATATTTAGTACATTATGCAACAATTACCATGAAATTTATATTTTTTCGTAAAATCTACTCAATTGTTTCCTATCCTTGTTGGCAGCTATGGTATTGTGATATTGAGGAAACATTATTTTTCTGTAATTCTCAATATTTTATTATTTATTTTTGTTTTTCATCATTGTTTAATGATGAAATGGCTACAAAAGACACAATGTGTACTGGTGACATTTTGCGTGTTTTATGTAGGTTTTAAAAAATAAATTTGCCTGGTAATCGGGAGTTAACTGTATAAACTCTCATTTTTTGTAAAAAAAAAACAACAACATATCACTAATTATGAAGGATAAAAATGTACCTGAAATATATTTCATTATGAACAATGATCCAGTAATATTTTTTATTTGAAATGATTAAAAAAAAAACTTTTTTGTAGTACATAGAAATTTTTTTAAAAATATGATATGATTACAAATATTTTATTTCATATGTCAGAATGACTTAAAATTGTTATATTTAACCACACAATGCTGCTTGAATCCAAATTAAATGTATAAATATTTTTCTGTTAAAATTTCACATTATCTCTGTCTGTTGTAACTAATTATTTTTATCATTCCTAAATGTGTTTTTATTATTCCTAAATGTAAAAGTAAAATTAAAACGAATAAATTTTTTATTTCATTATCAGATTTTAACTTTTTAATTTAATTATATTTTACTGTTTTATCAAAGAATTTTTTTATATTAATGAGCATTAAACGAATTAGAATAAGCAAGCTTCTTTATTAAATAGAATATATTTTTAATAAAAAATAATTCTAGGCAACTGTTAAGCATATTTATTTTGGAATTATATGTATTTTGCAATAATCATATTTCAAAATGCATAAATATATATATATAGATATAACGAATATTTGGTGTTCAGTCCGTTTACCGAATATTCGGTTGGCCAAATGTTTCGTCAAATATTTTTTTGGAAAAATATTTTTTGATCAAGTTTTTCTTTTTGAATTTCAGTTTATTAAATAAAGAATAGTATAAAATAATATTTTTATTATACATTATCTGATATAGTTTTTACACATATTTGCTGAGTTTTAAAATTCATGTGCTTGCAAATTTATGTTCTAGAAGACAAATGCAAGGTTGCCACAGGCAGCTAAAATGCAACCATTTTTGGCATGAGGCAATTATGGCAACTTTTCTTGCCTGAAAAGGCTAAAAGAGCAACTATTCTCAGGAAAAGGAGACTATTGGGAGACTTTTGTGTACTACTAGCAATGTTTTTTTTTTAAAGCATAAATTGGGTGGAAAATCTGCACCCCACAAGATAGTTTCTGAAGACACTGAACTTTTTTTTTATTAAAAAATTTGGAATTGCAAATTTGGGTTTGCACTTTTTAATTCGTTCAATCTACACAGACTCCATTGTAAGCCTGATTCATTTCTCGATCGCCTTTTCAATGATTATTGCTACGAAATTCCACACGATTTAAAAAAAAAAAATTTAATATGATATTACGATGCATGAATTTTGAATTTGAGTAATCACTTTTCATATATATATGGATAAACATTTACGTTTATATAAAAATTACCATATTTGCCACCAACTTGACTGAATGGATCATGGTATATGACAATTGAGGCATTAACAAAATTTTAGTCATATTTTTGTTCGTATTTAGGCAACTTTCCTAGTTTTTGGCTACTATTTTCATGTGTTAGGCTGCTGAAAGCAACTATTTTGTTCATTTTTTTCTGTGGCAGCCCTGCAAATGGAAAAGCGAAATTTTAAGAAATGAAACTAAATTACTTTTTACTGAACCACATGTTTTGTACTTCAGATTTTTTTAAAATTATATTCAGGCGAACGTATATAGCTTACTATATTCAACACTTTTGTTTTAAAAATTGAGAAAGTTGTTCTTTGTTTCATTTTTGCTGTTTTTATCATAGCGCTGAATTTGAATGGAATATTTTATGATAAATTTTATAGTTATTTTTTTCTTGCTCGGTCAGACAAATAGCCAGTAACAAAAAAAAGCTGTGATTTTTGATAAAATATATTTTATGAAATAAGACATTTTTCTCAGTTTGTCTTTTTCTATTAACTTTCCTTTTTATTATGACTTTAAATTTTTTAAAGAGCGTTTTTAATGAACGTTTTTCTTTTATTGTCACTTTTCTCTAAAAAATACGGCAATATGAAAAGTAGCGCTGTGGTGGCTCGGATGATAGAGCATTCGCCTTCCTAATGAGGTGAACCAGGTTCCATTCCCAGCAATGGTTGGTCGATATAAATTCCACTTCTGGCTTGCACCGACCACGGTGCTGACGTAAAATATCCTCAGTAGTAGACGGA